CAAAAATTTATTAACTGCTTATTTTATATAAAATTATACTTGATCTAACTTTTGTATTCAGCTACTGAAAAAACAAAATAAAAATGAATTCAGTTCGAGGGGTGGTCGGGAAATTAATAAAAAAACTTCCGGTTAAACCCCTTTAATGCGCACTGTAAAATTGATAATAATTTAAATAAAAATCCGGTATTAACGGTATGTAACGACTATGTTTTGACATGCTTAAATTATTAAAAAAAAAAACTATAAATATCAAAAACTTGAAATTTATACAGCAAAATATTTTTTTCACGAGTACACACTAACTACATCCACGGAAATAAGCTCTCAACGAACTTAAAAAGTATGATCCACTTCACTATTGAAACGTGTAAAATTATACATGTTTCATAACATTCATTTGTTGTTATCTAATTCATTTTGGTCTTTTGTTAAAGAATTAAAAAAAAAAGAAGTTAAAGCTACAGCAGAATCAATAATTTTTATAGTCGTAATTTTGTACGAAAAGATGACCACGAAATTGGGGATTAATTTTTCTCACAGTTAAATTCATTTATTTCCAATAATAATGAATCTGGTGACAATTTTATGTAAGTAAGCAAGCGATCTTTTTATTTATAAATTTATATATTTTACCATATATAATAATACATTTTTATTTTCTGAGAATCTATAAGAAGTAAGTGTATCAGTATTATTGTTCGCAGAATTTATTTTTATTATATCAGAAGAAGCCATGTGCGTGTTTTTAGTTGATGTCATTATTAATACAGTCATTTATTTAATGGAAAAATAAATTTCAAAATTTAAGAGACAGGAAACCAGTTAGAATTATAATTTTATATTTTTATGAATACAATAAATGAAAGTTAAGGCCTTTTTCCATCCATCGTGTTCAAGTGACGACAAGTATTATTTGTTTTCAAAACACTTTTTTAAAACAGTATTTGTGTTACTTACTTTGTTAGACTGGAAAATAAAAAAAACAGTAAATTACTCGTTTTCTCCACATCACAAATATAATCTCTCGCCTACCCTTGCTAAAAATTTTCCCTTTCCAATCACGTTTTCGTACAGACGTCACAATGTGGTAACAATGGGTTCGATTCTAATTTATTTACTCTTGTCCCAAAGTTAGTTTCATTTAGCAAACACTTACTTTTTTTTAAATCAGTGATTTAGTTTTTACATTTCTACTTAATACCATTATGAAATACAAGCTTGGTTTGGCACTCACCAAACCATCATAATAGTTGTCCCGCACCATAAGATCGAACGCTAAAAAAAAACTAATGAGTGTCTGTAAGTGTAAATGTCCCGTAATGTGGGAGATCTAGTTATTCCTTAGACCATCGCTCGAAAATATAGTTCTATTAACAAGAAGCTCAAAAATGTTTATAAAGTAATAAATTCATTCAGCAGAGATATTACCTAAATTTCTATTGGTGGGTGCGTCAGTCCGTTTTTGAGTTTATTTTATTTTTATAAGTTTTTATTTAATTCATTTTTTTATATTTGATATTTTTTATATCCAATTGATAATATTGTCATATTTATTTTCTAGAGTTCAGTATCAAATTGATACTTCAATGGACCACCTGCAAAGAGATTCAAGTTCAACGATTATTAAACAAAAACAGTAAAGTGGAAACAAACTCATCTTTTGAAAGTTAGTTATCCATTTTAAAAAGACGTTTGAAAGCAAAAACGTAAGTAGAAAATCTTAAGAAATCCATAGACAATACTAAAATTATGACGCATTTATTGACAGTTTTGCAATAGTTCTGTTTTTGTAACATTTTGAATTTTGATGGAGTAGAATTCTTAAAAATCGCTATTGTATAATACAAGTAAATTAAAGGAAACATTTTTTCATTAACAAATTAAGTAAAAGTTGTTCTTCAGAATAAAAACGAAAAAATGTTTCTTCTTTTTATTTCTTAGGAATTAATTTCATTTTGCTAAATTTTTGTTATACATTTTTATTGCAGTTTTTCCTCGAGTACTTGTATTTCAATTTTATATTCTCTCTGATGATATACAATTTAATTTAATATTTAAAATTTTTTTTTCTTAGAAAATTCTTGTTGCACTTTACTTACATGTGAATTGTGAATCTTTTTTTTTCTTTATAGAAGCAATGAGTGTCCAGTTGAATTTACAATTTACTTTTACATTGAAAGTTTATTCAGAATTGAAATTACAGCTGGTAAACAAACATTATTGGAAAAAATAGTATGATCACCAACTTAACATGTACATTTTAAAAATAGTTTTAGGGTCTGTTATCACAGTAAAATGTACATAATTGAATAATCAGACCAAATTAAATATCTAATGAATTTAATTTTATTTAACCATTTTTTTTTTTTTTTTTTAAATATCAAATCAAAAGTGAATTTGTTTTCCTTACAATTTATTTAATTCTTTTGTAGTTTCTCTAGAGTCTCATGTATTGTGATAAAATTCTAGGTAAACCTATGAACATACTAGTACATCCTGGAAACTCTGAAAGTTTCATCCGTCTTAAGAAAAGTAAAAAGTTTGGATTAAATATTGTTCCTAGCTTTGAAAAATGTATTAATGGCTAGCAGTGCTCACTCATCTGACACCCTTGGGCATTGTATCTCTCAATATGAATAGTAGGGAATATAATATCATATTTTTAATGGCTAACCTATGGAGTGACATACTTGGGCGTGATTTTTTTTTTTACATTAACATTTTTCTGTAGAAATATTATTTGGTGGTCCACTACCATCTCTCATAGTATGTGAACTCTGCTATAAAAAAATATGCTTTATCCAACACTATTTTCTAAATTCTGGCTGTCACCTTAAAGCTGTGCAATTTAGAAGGCATAGCATACCTGATGCAAAATTGATTCATTAAGAAATAACTCGTATGTTGAAAGAAGGCATTTTAGAACTTTCTCAAGTCTTTATGGTGAGCTCAAACCCTGAGGTATCACAAATAAATGACTATTCTCAAACTATAAATAGATTCATCCTCTTAGCTACATAACCTCTCCCTCAGATGCTGGCTATCATCACTTTAGCATGCTTGACTTTGCAAGGCAATAAATCCACTAAGATGAGGGGGTTGCTGAAGGTGAAAGAATCTGAGAAAAACATTGAGAAAAGAGGACAATAAAAGAACAGGATTCAAAGAGGTAAAAGATGAAAATTGATGTTGTATTTAAAGCATTGATAGGAAAGCAAAAAGCTGGAAGAGAGTTCTCCAAGGAAGAAATGCAAGAGAAGAAACATAAAACTTAGTTATGTCTGGCAATTTCAACAATGAAGTAGAGATAAACAATTACTATGAAAATATTTATAGAAAATGCATGGGAAGCTACGTAATGGCAATGGAAAAGTGACTGAAGAAGCCAAGATAACTGTTGACCCTAAACTTGAAGAAGCTGATTGTAGTGATTGAGGAAGCATCTTCTTGGGAGTTGGTTCTACAAAGCAGTGCTTTGTGGGAAGAAGCTCGAGTGGAACTTGCATCTTACCAATGGAATACGAAGAGAATGTCCCTGGCATGGCGGGTCATAACCGTGAAGGTTAGAATTGGTGGTACTATGGAATGTTGTTTGTTTTAACACTTACAGACACTTTCAAATAGTGATAGAGCAGAGAGAGGCTTGTGAGAAAGGCTGGAAAATATTTGTCACTCACAAGTCTGCAGAGATGCTTCTGAAGTCTATTGAAACTAGAAAATGAATACTGGGCAGCTCCTACTCATATATGGCAGCAGTACTTCATTTTCAGTCTGATCTGGTTGACTTTTGCTATCCTCTACTTTTACAAAAGGATAGCAGAAGTCAAGTACTTGCTGCAGTGGTACAGGGAACTGACTATTTTTCCAGCATCTTTAATTATAGATTGTATGTATGAGTTCAATTTGAGGTCTGGATTGAGTTTAAGAACTTTTTTCCTCTGAAGTCTACAATTTTCCCCTGAATGCTGAAGAAGCAGATATATTTCATTTACTAAAGAAAGAAATAGCTGATGTGACTCTGGTTGTTATATCTCTATTGAAACACCTACTGAAACTGTAACAACCTACCTATTGTGGTCAGTTGAGAAAACTCTCCCAAATATTGATAATTCTGACCTGACATCATTTCAGCACTTTCAAAAAACTGCTCATGTTATCAAAAATGATTGTCAAATACCTAAACCTAAAAATACTATAATTTCTGTTATTGTTTATCTAAAGTTTGACAGAAGTTTCATTGCTTAACTGAAAATTATCAGCTTTGAACTGTCTGTATACTGCCAGTGAATGAGAAGAGAAATGAATTGTCTTTCTTTGTATTTTGTGTGTTTTTTTTTTTTTTTTAATATGGCTTTCCATCAAGAGGTTCACGTTTCCTTTTCTCTTTCAAATTGCTTTTTAAGTTGGATAATGCTTCTGTGTTAATCAATCTTGGTTTTCATTACCAAGTAAAAACAATTGCACTACTTAATTACTTGTAGGATGTATATTTTCATAGATAAATTGATGTAATAGTTTAATAAACTACATAATCTTACAAAGTATTTCAATTTTTTGTTAAACTATTTAAAATAACTCTCAGCCAAAATATATGCACAATGTAATTGAATAAATTGTTTTGTTTTTTGCAGTCTAAGTAGGGAAAATGAATTTCATTAAAATGTTAACTTTGGATTTAATAATTTTCTGTTAAATTCTTTATCATAAAATTCTATAAGAATGGGCATTCTGAAAGTAATCATGGAGTAAAATTTTATTTCATTTTATTATTTGAGTGAAAGAAAATTGAAAATATTGCCTTTCCCCAATTATTTTTAATATTTTATTTTTAGCAACAAACAATCCTTTAAGATAAGAATTCAGCATTTATTTAGAACCATTTTATTTTCACTTTAAACAATTTTTATGCAGAAGTTACTAAATTTCTTTATAAAATCTTATATTTTCCAGATCTTAAAGAGAGGATTTTGATATATTCTTGATAGTTTTTTTTTACCATGAGTAAAATAAAAGAAAAAAGAACCAGTTTGAGTCCCAAAAAGTTAGATATTGCCTTGGCAATAAAACAGTGTACAGAGGTAAGTTAATGGCTATTTACAACAAAAGATGTTTTGCAAATCATCTTCATCTATATTTTTGTTAGTTCATTGAACAATATAGTATTTCAAATCAAAATCTTAAATAAGTTCAGTGTACATTTTCATGCATCTAACATAGGTACCTCCACGAGATCGCTAAAAAAAGAGCATAGCATGATGAAAAAGATGCCAAACTTGACGAAAACAAAATTTTATCATCTAAATGTTTGTTATTATTAAGAGGAAAGGTCAACGTATTTTTTTTGGGTATTTTTTTCCATTTTTAATCGTTCCTAGCACGTTTTGAAATTTTAATTAAAAATCTAGTTTTTTTTGAGTCAGCAAAATTGACCATTTTTTTTCCATTTTAAAAAAAAAACTGGAAATCTGACTTTGAAATTTTTTAAATATCAATTATCATTTTTCAAAACTTATTTTAAGAAAATCAGAAATTATAATGTTTATTTAAAATATTTTGAACCAAACATAACTTAGCTTTTGTGCCAAAAAGATGTAATTTGAAAATAAAACAAAGCAGGTCATAAACTTTCGCATCTCTTGACATGTGATGAATGATATATTTAGAATTCCATGAGGCTAATTTGTTCTACGGAAGGAGAAAAGGAAATAATTTACATTTACGTGAACAAATTATTTACCCTGTTATTTTTAACGAAAACTTTCAGCGGTCTAATTTTTTTTTTTTTTTTTTGTACTTAGCTTTCACCTTTACGTTTATGATGCTTTATGGGAAATATATTGTAAAGAAATTAAAATAAAACTGTTAAGAGTGACATTAAATTTCATATTTCTTAAGAAAGGTATCTAATTAATTTATAGGTACCTTTCTTATGAAATTTTATCAGAATTGTACATAAAATACTATAATTTTATGTACATTTATTACATTCTACTGTTATTTGTATTTGCATTCATTTTTTTATTATTAATTTTGATATTTCATTTATGGAAAAATGTCGAACTGAGATTAATATAAAAATAAGATCATATAAATTTCATAAGATGATACTGGTACTTGTAGGTACCCTTCTCAGTTGAAATTGAAAAAATCAAATTAACTTCTCCACACGTGTTTCACAAAAAGTAAAGGCCTTAACAGCGGAGAACAATGCTTAACTCAAATAACGCAAACTTAATTATATTCTGGTTGGTCTTCCGTATTTTATAATTACAGCTCGATTATAAGCACAAAATTACATTTCTTAATTACTGGGTATCTTCTGATTAGTCAAAATGATACAATTTACAACGCGCTAAAAAAAGATCTATCTCATAAGGACACTTATGAAAGCCGATGCGGCTTTAAACTTATTTTCTAATATTTTAACAACTTAAATGTAAAATCTATTATAATTAATGAAATAACAAATAATTGTATTAAAAATTCATTTTTCATCGAAAAATTTTTTTGCTTTCAGAAAATATTGTCCATATTCATAAAAACAACTAAAAGCAAATAAAAGCATTTGTAATTAAATAATATCTTTGTTTTATTGAGTTTTGTATGTTACAATTCAGAGCTGATTTTCAGGTACTGCGTATCCAATTAAAAACAAAAAAAACATGATTTGCATTCCTCAAAGCCCTGTGCTTTTAATTATTGTAATCACTAAAACCGATGCGATTGAATTTCTAGCGTTTTCATAAAATTAGTTATGGGGGGGTAATAAATATTTAAAAAAAATATTTCTACCATGACTTTCATAAAAAAAACATATTTATAATAATTTCGATCATCTGTGAATAGTTCCTGAAATTTTCATTAACATCCGATAATTATTTCTATTTTTGCACGATTTTTCAAATTAATGTGTGTCATACCAAAAAAACGTGCTAAAAATTGTCTATGTTATTTACTAGTTCCGCTGATACAAATAGAAAAAAGGTTTTTTTAATCAAAATTTAGAATGTTCTAAAAAGAAGGAAAATTTTTTAAAAATAATTTAAAAAAAAAACTTTGGTCTTTCCTCTTAATAATAACATAAGCATTTAGACAATAAAATTTTGTTTTCGGCAAGGTCAAGCTATGCTCTTTTTTTTTAGCGATTTCGTGGAGGTACCTAAAACAGTCCAGCTTTCTTGCTCTTATGACACTGACAAACATTGTACAAGTATCTGATAATTTAGATGGCATTTTTAAAATTGTTTTTTTCTGAATTCTCAATAGATTTAGTAATGTTTTAGTGGTAAGCTTTCTGGATTTGGATAAAACTAAGGGTAATATTCACTGTCATATTTTATTATGTAAATCAATGTTTATCCCACCAGTGTTGTAACTTTCAGCTTATAATATTGTAGTGAATTATCACAGAGGGCAAAAGAGGCCTAGGGTTTCATGCATTTTTTGCAATGCTAGAAGAAAATGACTTACCTCCAGGTGAACACAGATTTTGTAAACTGTCCGAAAAGGAAAAATGGGGCTTTGCGGGTTACATTTAAAATGGATAATTCCTGGAGTCGGATACTGTCTCGTGAGAGTATCTTTTCACCTATGTAAATTTTGACTGTCAATAAGGACATAAAAAGAGCAAAGTGACATTCAGATTGTTATTAATGTATCAAGTAGGCGACACATGTGGAAGAATTGATTAGACAGGAATTGTTAACAAGCCAGAGAAAAAAAGTACACTTTTCACTAAAAAATATCTATCCTTATTAAAAATATTGATAGTAATTTCTTTTGGTGGTGTCAAGTTTATTAAGAAAAACAAAGTAAGTGTAACTTTTTTTTTTTTTTTTTAATTTATGCATTATTTCAAAAGATAGAGGCAAGAGAAACATGGCACAATATCCTATATATTTGAATAAATTATTATTTCATTATTTTACATGTTCATATTAAATACTTGACATTTTATAACCATCAGTCTTTCATTCATTGGTTTTAACTTTTCTACTCTTTCAAATTTAATATCAATTGAAGTAGTTTTTATTGCTTTTTTGTTTTGTAATGCCTATTTGTAGGAGAGACTTTGTAAATCAGATACAATAATAGTAACACTTTTGAACAATACTCTGTCAGATGCTACTAATTCCCATATATATATATATATATATATATATATATATATATATATATATATATATATATATATTTTCCTTTACTAGTCATGTGATCTAATTATTTCAAGTTAAGGTCGACTGCGCTTGCTCTCTGGTGATCCATGTTCAAACCCAAATGTTGGCATCATAGCATATCGGTTTTCAGTCAAGGTTGAATTTTGATAGGCGGTGATTTTGCTGCCAGAGCACAACCTCTGCATGATTTTACTAGATCCATTTTTAACTAATAAGTATAACACCTCATTAAGGATTTCATTCTAGAAATTCCTGGGTGTCCAATGTGAAATTCTTTTAGCTTACGTTTTTGCAAAGATGCCGGTATCACAATTCTTTCTGCATACATAAGTACATAATGAAAATGCATTATTTCCAGTAATATTTTTTCCTTTAAATCTTAATTGCTTTTTCATTTTCACTTTAAGTCATCTTTTACCAACTTATTTCCTCCAATGTTATGGGCAATTCTCTTACAGTATTGTATAATACATTATTAATTTCATTTTTGGTCCTTATTGCCATAATTACTGTGTCCTCAAGTGGTTCACTGAATTTTGGTATTATTCTAGATAATCCATCTGCATGACTTAACTTTTTGGATGGTAGAAATTCCATTTTATAATTATAGTTCAATAGGATAGTTCCCCAGCGTTGGAGTCTATTTGCTGTATGTATGGGAACACCCTTTTTTTGATCCATATATGGACAACAATGGGTAATGGTCTGTCTGTAGTTTGAATTCTATACCTTGTATGAATTTATGAAACTTTTTCATAGCAAATATTATGGCCAATGCTTCCTTTTCTATCTGGTTGTAGCTTTTTTCATCTGCAATTAATGATATTGGTTTAGTTTTTCTGTCCTCATATTTGTGTAGTATCACTGCTCCAATACCCGAATCACTTGCATCTTATGCAACCACAATCTTTAATTTAGGGTCAAAATGAGCTAGTGACAAATCTGACGTAAAGACTTCCTTGATCTTTTTGAAACACTTTGACATTTATCTGACCAGTTCCATTTCACATTTTTCTTTAGCAGGTTATTCAAGGATGTTCTTAATTCGTGTGTGTGTGTGTATATATATATATATATATATATATTAGAAATAGGCAGTTTAACTGAAAAACAACTTTTTTCGGTTTCATTTTCACACCGTGAAACTGCATCAAAATTTTTTACGAAACTGAAATCATTCGGTTTAGTGCTTATAACTAATGATTGACCATATCCAAAGAATCACTTTTGATAAAGACTTTCAGATGTTAATAAAATTAAATTTTATCAACATTTATACCATTGTAAGAGAAAAAGATTGAATAAAAATATGCTAAAAATATAAAATAGACTAGTTTTAGTAAATAAATGTGAAGAAATCTATTTGTTTACAAAAGAAATGTAGAAGAAAAAAAGGAAATACGACAGATATGACACTTGGAAATCATAGAATGTTCTCAAAAAATAAAATAAAAGGAAATACAACATGAAATCTACTTGTTCCAGTTAAAAAAAAAAAAAAGGCAAAACTTTTTGTGGTAAAATTAGCAACAAAATAGTAAAAATAAAAAAAATAGTTGCCAGTTTTGTTGTAATGTAAAATTTTATGCATTCATCCTAAATTAGATATTAAGAATAATTAAAATAGTTCTTAATTTCACTTTTAAAATGTGTATATTTTCACTAGAAATGCAAGTCTCTATTGTAAAATTATTTGTTTTCTACAAATAAAGTTATGTTTCTATCTAACGAATCGGAATACACCTAAAATTAGATATTTAAAAAATAAAGTAAATTTTAATCCCAGTTCTAAAATGTGTACATTTTCAAAACTGTAAGTCATATTTTTTAAACTCAAAGTAAAAATTATTCCTTTTTAGCCACTAGTGTTCAATGTTGCTTTTCATTCATAACTAAAAATTGCTGTTTAGAAATCAGTTTTCATATACTTTATCAAACTTAAGTTTCTTTTTGTGATATTTATTTAAAGATGGTAATTAAGGTTGCTTTTATACCCATATTCTTATATTCTCTCTTACATTTGTAACACCAGCTCTTCAAATATTTTCTTGCTGGTCAGTTCATATTTTTTTTGTTTATTTCCCTTTGTGATTTTTCTTGTTGTTTTTAGTTAGTTTTTTCTTGTTTTCATCTTGCCAATATTCTCAATTTCTTTTTTGATTCTTGTGTGATCTCTGTTGCATAATACCCTGTAATAGTTTGCTTGTCTGCTCACAAGTTCTTGGTATACATCAGCGGACAGAGTAAATCTTTAACCCTTTTGTCTACTTCTAGTAAGCTTCACTCTGGGGTATGGCCATTAAGACACATTGAAGCTGTATATATGTGTTACTAGAAATAAATGTATAAAAACAAATCTTATAATCAGTACCTATTTATTTCACATTCTGCCATTATCTCAGATAAATAATGGAACATTCTGTTTTGATTGTGAGGAAAGATTGAAGGAAATGATATATTAGAGATGCTGTTTGGTTTTAGTGAGATAAAGAAAGCATACATAAGAAGGAATGACAAAGAAAAACAAGATACAGGAGGTGATTATGCTCTCATGATTTTAATGTTTACTTAGTGAAATGAAAAAATGCCTTGTCAATTTTAATCTTTCTTTGACTTATCACTCAGGTCATTATTTAATGTGAAAAAAAAAACCTGTGAAATTCCCACAGGTTTCTATTGATTATATTTATATATTTATTTCCAATACCAAGAACAAGACTTTAATTGCATAATAAAATCTCACACCATAAAATATATTATAGTAATTATTTTTAATAAAATATATTATTAACTGAAACTTGACTGATATATTATTAATCATATAAATATATTCTAAATATTAAATGTTTGACTTTCAAAATAAAACATGACATGTTCTGAAGTAAGTAAATATTTATTTTAAGTGGGGTTGCTGAAAAATTCTCAGTCTAATCAAGAAGGGATTGCAATTCTGGTATTTTTTGTTTGGTCAGATTTTGGAAATTTGTCAGGTTGATAATGTTATACCCCGTTGCAATTAGATCTCCTGATTCATTCTGTATGCTGACAAGATGGGAATGTCACAAAGGCAGAAAACGAAAAAAACAAAAGTCCTTTTCTGCACATTAGGCTCCGTGTATCACATCCGGTCTACAACATGAGCTCCGGTGGTGACCAATCACAATTGTTCCTGCCAGAGAGAGAGAGAGATGCCCCTGGGGACTACCAGACCCAGTTAAAAGCAGCCCTCTGAGAACGACTAGGCCATCATGCAGGGTGCTGCTGTTGCGACCTGGCTGTCATGCAAAGCACTGCTGCCACCATTGCCACCTACATCAACACCAACCTCATCACTTCGGCAAACACTAACCATGAGCAGCTGACTATCCAACCATAACCCCACCCAGCTACAAGCTTTCATTTTTGACTACCAACAGAAATCGACCCTCCACCATGATCTCAATCAGTAACCTCAGTTCCACAGAACAGACCTACCAATCCCTGTTGTCACCTCAGCCTAAACTTAACTCATTTACAAGGCATTCCCTTCACAGTTGACACCAGCAAAATCCATTCCACAGAACAGGCCTACCTTGACTTGTTGACAAGGCATTCCCTTCACAGTTGACACCAGTGATCTCCATTCCACAGAACAGGCCTACTTACCCCTGCCCACACCTACCAAAACCATACCAATCCAATGTCTCCCTGGTTCAACACAACAGGTCTACCAACAGACGAAACAACATACCACTGTGACCGTGGCCATGCCGGCACAAGAAATGAGTCAACTCTTGACACTATGCTTACACCAGATAGCTATTCCTGTACTCTCTACCAACAATGAACGTTGTTTCAATTTAATGCCTGTTATTCCTTTCTCTCGCTACCAAACACTTAATATAACAATAACTTTTCAGCACTCCCTCATTTTTTTTTTTTCCTTTTCCCATTCCTGTCTATGCATGTTACACTTTTATTATATCTTTCAACCACTAATTTGTGTAGAATATTACACACTGCAAGACTAAATCTGGTAATATTATTTTATATTTAAATGAGCTACTGTGCATCAGATATCAGTGCATATTTACTATGTAAAGAAGATTTAAATCTTTTCAAATATTTTTAGTATGAAATTTAAAATATTTCTTATGAAATTAAAATCTTTGAAGATGTAATATATTCCTAAGCAAAAAGTTGCCCATGATCCCCTGTGTCACTTCATAAATCACTGCAGAGAAAATTTGATTAGCAGTTTTATTTTTATTATTATTTTTCAAAATAAAATATTTTGGTAAAAAATGTGTAATTATATATATCTTCTGTTTAAAATGAATTATTTCAATCCTTACACAATTCTAAATCTTTTAGAATTGTTTACTTCTGTGCAATTTCAGTGGATTCTGCTTGTAAAATATAAAAATAAGCATAATAAAATAAAAACATAAAATTATATCAGCTAAAAAACAGATAAAATATAAAATGTCTTATCAGTAGTCATTTTAACTGCTATTTTTTTAAAATTGTTTTGAAATTGTTTATTTTCAGGGATCGCCTGAACTTTACTACAAACTTATGAAACAATTAAGTCAAGATGTTCCGGTATGAAGATTTCTTTCATAAAATTTTTCATTTTTAAATGTTTAAAAAAATTTTATCCCTTAAAAATAAATTCTTGCATAACATAATTATTTTTTTAAATATGGGGGTAATGGGGAAACTGTGGCCTACCTGTTGAATTTATGCAGCACACAAAATCACAACAAACATTACCTTTTTAAATATCCATTGTTACATAAAATAGTAATCCATTTAAAGAAAGATGTGAACCATTTATATTTGATAGTGAACCCCAGTTCTGGGGTAACTCACTTCCTACAGAATCAACATATTGCATTATCTACTAACCACAGGCAACTGGATCACTATGTTCAACACTGTCAATGTCCAGTCATTAGCATAGTGTAAACTGGTGTAGGCATCTAGGTGTCTGTATGTACATAGGATGTGTAGATTTCTGTGCTTTGCTCATGAGATTTATTCAGAATTACTTATTGTAAAATATTTTTTCACAGATGTATAAGTCCTATTAATAGTAGAAAAAGTATTAAATATCAGTTCATTGCAAGAATTTATGCCCAATTTTCATTTTTAATATAAAATGACTGCAACTTGATACTGGTGTTTGTTTTCATGCTTGATATCTGGTGTATACTAGATTGAAACCTTGCATCATTCAGTTACAAGTCAGACTTTGTTGAATGTTGACATTTTGTCTATAAATGAATGCGTTAAAGATAGAGGATGAAAAGTTGCACTTTGGCCATATTATGCTTTATGAATATCAGAAAGGAGTAAGCATTGGAATTGTGGCAAAAAACATTTAGAACATCTGTTTGGATTGTGCTCCAGCTCTTCAGAAAGTCAAAAAGTGATTTGGTAGATTTCATCAGGATGATTTTAACCTAAACAAGGAACTACACCTTCCGTCATTAAAGAAGATACTCTGCTTGTTATCAGGAAGAATAAACCAAAGTTTTTGATGGAAGATTCTTAAAAGTTTGAAAATTGATAAATCAATATCTTAACTGTCTTTTGCCATTTGAAGAGACTTGGGTTTATTTCCAAACTAGACATGTGGATGTCACATTCTCTGAAAGAACAGAACAAGCTTGATTGTATTTATGCAGCCATTCTTGGGCATAATTGTTACAATGAAAAAATGGATTGTTTATAATAATGTTTGATGCAAATGGAGTTGGAAACAAGTTTGTGAATGTGCAGGACCTGTGGCTAAAGTGGGCTTGCATCCAATAAAGGTGTTACTGTCCATTTGATGGAATTGCAGAGGAGTAATTCACTTTGAGGTTCTTTCAGCCCATGAAGCAATAACAGCAAAAAAGTACTGCAACCAACTCTGTTCAAGAAAACAGTTGATTTTGGCAAATTGTAAAGGTCATATTTCCACCGTAGCAATGCAAGACTGCATGTTGCAAAAGCATAAATGGGACCCCCAACCTCCAGGACCCACCGTATTCTGACTTGGCTCATTTGGATTTTCATTTGTTCCAGTTTCTACAGAACAATTTAAATGGAAAAATTTTGACTCTACAGTCAGTCAAAAAATACTTCACAACCTTCTTCCAACAAAAAACACTAAGTTTCTACAAAAATGGCATCAACAAGCTTGTAGAATGTACAAGCTGGTTGTTAAAAAGAATGGAGACTATGTACTTTAATAAATATTTTTTGTAAGTATGTAAAATTTTTAATTGAGCACAAAATTTTGCAATGATCTAATATAAAACTCATTTCCCAAACATTTGTGCAGCCTGTTCACAAAAGGTGTTTAATAAGCAAATAACTTTCCAAATAACATGTGCATATATGATTGTTATTTATATTGTCAAGGTGAAACTTTAGTTGTTATTGTGATATGGCCCACTTTACACTGGGCCAACAGTGACCCTCCATGATTAAAGTTTGTTCACCTCAGTTTTAACATTTCATAGGTAAGATTTGTTTTCAAACATTTCAGAATTTCCTTTTTTTTCTTACATTAAAACAAAACCAAGAATTGTTTTATCATTCTTAAAATAAAACATTTTCATTTTTATCTGAACTTCTAATATATATTCTGTGTATTCTTAAAACTACTTCCCTCATTTTGGTCTTAATCATTAAAGATGATGCATTTGTCTAAATTTTTTCATGTCTGTCATATCTGTTAATCTTCAAATAATTCTGAACAGAATCTCTTTTATTATTCAGGTTTATTTTCTTCCCTGACTTCTTTCACTAACCGATCACTCCAATAACTTCAGTTTTTATGAAATTTTTCTGAAATAGAATTTAGGCACAAATTATTGTGGAAATTAAGCCAAAATTCAACCTTTATCCTAAAAATATATTGCAATGAGTTTTAAAATATTCTGATTAAACTTGATTAACAAAGGCTCAGGAATCAATTGAATTAATAAAACCAAAAAAAAAATTACATAATGATTTATGTAAATTTAAAATTGCTTAAAAAGACTAATTTACATTTTAACCATTGACTACAAAGAATTGAAAATTTTACACATCAGTATGAATGTTTTAAGAAATATCTGTGATTGTGTTGTGTAAAAAAAAAAAAAAGGACTCTCTTATAAATGATAGCATTCAAGAAGGCTGTAGAATGGATTGGCTGAAAAATAACTTCATGGTTGAAATAATGGAATGAATAAATCTATTTAATAATAGTTTATTTCAGTGTTTTAAAATTGATTAGTTTATAAATACTGGTAAAATTTATTTTTATTTTTTTTCTGTTTTTAGAAAATACAATTTAGTATTAAATTATTTTGAAAGAATAAAATCAGGTTTTAATATTTACTAATATGACTAGTTTAAGAACCTCTATTTTACAGGCAAAGATAATTTGTAGTGTGTTTGATAGACTTGACTGAAAATTTATAAAATGTATATTAGTCAAAATTTCTTTTTGTATAGGTCATTAGAACTCATCAAAATTAATCATGTTAAAGCACCAGTGTCTTATAGCAGTCATTTGTTTTAACAGGCAATGAAATTATTTTATTTCTTGATGTACATTGCTCTAAAACTGATTTCCTTGGCATAGTGGCATTAGTGTCTTGTTGGTTATTAAAAGTATCAAATGTTGTTGCTTTAGTCAGTGAAGTGTTTAATATATTATTTTTATGTTTTTGTGTGAAAATAATTTGTTCTTATGGCTGGTACTAAATGAAGGAAATAAATTAAAACTAAAAATCCCATTTGAAAGACAAATTTTATACCATTTTTTGTCAACTTTGTAATCAATTTCTAGAATTGTTCCTCTTGTTTTATGGTTTTTACTGATTTTATTTCAGGTGAATATTTTGAAAGTTTACCTCAAAGAATTTGCTGAATGTGTTACTCTTTTAGATCAACGTTTTTATGACTTTGTCAGAGTTATTCTGGTAAGTAGTTTACATATTTCTATATAATGAAATAGATTAAAAATTTATTCACTAGGAAAATAATTTTAGTGAAGGTGGTTACTTAATTTAGCTTCCTAGTACGTAACTCAGACTAAAGTTTTATTTTCAATATATCTGAAATCCTTTAATACAGGCATAGAGAACTTAAGATATAAAAAATGGTGCCACATTTATCTTGGTAGATCAATTAGCAAAGAAGTTACATCCATTCAAAATTTGTCAATTTTCCATTTCTGGTGCTATTCTGGCCAGGAGTCAGTTTCAACAGTGTATAACTGAAGGTTCTGGAAGTATAACTGAAGATTCAGATGAGTTAGAAATCATTATAAATGTAATGTCATATTGGTAGTCTTGAAGTAAAAGAAATATAATAGTTATGGAATCGATAATTATTAGATCAGACCAGATTAAACATTGAAAAATTACGTTCTCAAAACAAAGTAGTTAAAAATGACACAGAAGGGCAATTTTGACTGATCATATAAGTTTCATTTCAACAGTTAATGTCTTGCAAGTTCTTGTAATGATTCATAGCACAAAAGAAATGAAGTTAGTGTAGTAAATGACTAAAAAAATTAATATTTACACCATTTAAAAACAGCCATAAGTGCAATTTGACAGTACGAAAAAAGAGGTCAAATGAACTTGTCATAAAAAATATCCACTAGAGGTATATACCTTAATTTTTGAAACTTTACTAATTTTAGGACGAGGAATTTAGTAAAACCACTATTTTCTCTGTTGTATGAACACGTTTTAACATAGATGTTTATAATTTTGGAAGAGTTTTTTTTTTGTTTTTTTTTTCTCCTCTTTTTTGAATTTTGGAAGAGTTTTTGAAATTATACAATTTATAACTTGTCAAAAAAGGACAGTAATGACTACAAAGCTTGTTTAATGAAATGAATCAGTGATCAGTCCTTGAAACAGAAGCTTTAAACTCACTTATCTTCAAGCTAAAAAAAAACTGAAATGAATAAATTACAATTATTTGAACTCACGAAAAAGGCTTTCTGGACAGTGGGAATCTCTTCTTTTAATGGTGATTTGAAGTCTAAATTTATTTATAAGCCTCTGCTATAGCCAGTATTCCTGGAACATGTTGTATCCTATCATCACTTGAAAGTGGTATTATATCAAAATCCCATTTAATGACAAATGTTGATGCCACTTGTGCAATATCATCCAGCAAAGGCTATCAAAAATAATCATTTCTGCCTTTGGCTGGAACAAAAATTTTGATTACAACACTGGATGGAGATGTGATATAATTTGAAGTCATTCTTTTTCATCACAAATGCTAAAGTTGTTCAAATACTCAAATTCCTTCCTTTGTTCTTTTAGAGTTGAAGATAAAGTTCCATTAAAAGTTATATCACTATCATGTCTATTCCCTTAATCACAGTTTTTAACTTTTTGAGCAACCTTTCATATATTGCAAGGAATTTGGGATCTTCTTTGGCCTGCTTCTCCTACTTAGAAGAAAACTACTTCTCAGGTCTCAATGACCCGAGAAGTAGTTTCATAAATCACAGAATAGAAGATTAAATATAATTATTATTAATCACCTGGATAGGTGTCGTTAGCATGGAAAGTACTAATACATGAAAAAAAAAAAAATGAACAGATACCTGCTTAAAAAAGTGTTATGCTTATGATTTTCAATAACAGCTTTGAGAAAAAAAAAAACAATTACAAAAATTAAAGAACTATAAAATTTATCCATTTTTTTCCTTTTTAAGAAAATGTAGCAATTTCCCTTAAATGCTGAAAAGACCTAGTCTCTAGAATTAGTAAATAAATAATCATTAAAAAAATGAAACTGATTACATTTTGGAAATGACTTAATTACATTTCAATTTTTTATGGAACCATGCACCAAAGTTAAACTAAAACATATATCCAGTTCATTTTTTATTTTATTTTTTATAAAATGTATCCAGCTTCATATTTTTTTTCTTCTTTTTGGTTTTTAAAGAAAATGCAAATAAATTTTCAATTTACTCCTGAGAAATAGAGAAAATATTGTCAGCCATGAATCAGGAAAACTGGACACATTTTTAAAGATTTAATTGCAAATTTATTTTTTTATTGACAAATGTGAGTGTGTAGGGTAGCACAGATATTAGACAACAGCATTTTTGGAACTGGTTCCTTGTCCAGTAAGGAGGAATATGTTTGGCAGGTATTGCCTGACCATTGACTATTTGTTACAAGGATAGGATCATCAGTCAGGACATAGAATATTAAAAAATTGAATCAATGTTGAAGACTAAAAAATGTAATACAATAGATGAAAATTAACATTCTAAGAGTATGCTAAACAAAATGGAAGAGGAAGGGGGAATTTGTAAGTGATGATCGCTAAATTATATCCTCAGGAAGAGAGAGAAATGAAATAAGAGTTGGACAAAGATAGGAAGAAGTGTGTTTGGGGTAATGGCAACTATCCAACAATGTTCTGGTGAAATTGAAAGGGAAGCCATTTAATATGTCAGGCATAATGATGTACTCATTCTGATAACTTCTATAACAGAAAGCATCAAAGAAGAAATAGGTAAGTTTTACAATATACAAGAAGACAGCAAATCTCTGCATGCCACAAGAAATCATCATGGGAGATGAAATTACCGAAGAGATAAAGAAACTTGTTCTGTGAAAGTCTTTGCCACTTATTCAAGTTAACTTTTACCAGTTAAGAAAAGTCGTAAACTTTTTTTGCCAAATAGTTCCACTTTTCAGATTAATAAGTGTATATGAAAATTTATTTGGAATTATTTCATATTGTATATTTAAATCACTTCATTTTAAATATTTTTAATTATTGTTTTAAAGCTTTGGAGTATGTTCTGCACAAATTAGTACAAAAATTGAACTTAACACTCATCTTAAAAATAAAATTTACATTTCATCAGGCATAATATCATTTGTCACTCTAGTTACATTCACTCCTTACTGGATGTGATAGCAAATCGGATTTAGGCATCCATTTCTTCCTTTACAACTGAAATCATCTATACCTGCTGATAAAGAATACTTTTACTCAAATATTTTATGACTGACTGCTTGTTAGGATGAGTATACATTCTGAATTATTATCCTTTTGTTATTTCATTTGAAATATCTTTGTACTAACATTTTATATAAAAAATATTTTTCTTTCAGAACTTAAACTGGTACACAAGTGAATCGTTATGCAAGGAATATTTTGATTTTGTTGTCAGTTTGAGCATTGCACACCCTGTACATTTAACAAATGTGTTAACAGCCTTGGTGCAGAGGTTCAAACCAAGTGAGTGACAAGTTCTCATTTTTAAATTGATTTTTTTTTGTTTTGTTTTGGAATATGCAATTATTAAAGTATTGCTTGTTTGATGCAGCTAATTTGTTTTAAGGTCTGATTTTGATCATAATTACTTTTATGAATGTGTGTTCATAAAATATCATAAACCTCTGTATTTTTAAAATTTAATTTTAATTTAACATTGATTTTTCAGAAAACTTAAGTTCAAGTAATTCAAATATAATTACAGTATTTGCTATTTTAAATTCTTCTATTTGCACTTATGAAATAGCTTACCATTGTTATGATGGTTAATTCACATAAAAAAATTCTTTACTTCAGCATAAATATTCATATTACAATTTTTATTTATCTACCATTACATACTGACTTGAAATTTAATTCTGTATTCTCGGTTGTAATAGTTAAAATTTGTAAATTTAATAAGATTTGCAATTTTTTGTTCAAACCAAAATCAGTGGAAAAAATAAAAAATTGCTTTTTTATGAAGAAATTTCAGAGTAAAATTTTTTTAGTTTTTATTAAAAAATATTTTAATTATAAATTAGTTTTGTTAGAGACTGAATTCAAGTTTTCTTTCCAAGACAAAACTTTATATATTCCTCAAACCACAAATTAGAAACATTGGAATTCTATTTGTAACAATCAACATATCAATATTGTTTTGTTGTAGGTATTGATCCACTGCAAGCAACTATTATTCAGCAAAAACAGCATTTAGTAATTTGTAGCCATGTACAAGCTGCTTTGAAGGCTATCCAGAAGCGTGTGCCCATGTAAGTATAATTTTCAAATAGAAAACAAAGCAAATAAACTATACAATTTATCTTTTTGTATTGTTTGAAAAGTTAAAGCAAAAATAATCCTATAATTTTCAGAAGTCATTATCTTTTAAAAAGTTGTTTGAACTAATGAACTCTTTTTCTGTTGAAGGAAATTCATGGATTAAGTCAGGATCAGTGTGTATTTTTTTGTTAGATTGGGAAAGAATTAAGTGTTAAATAAAAAAAAAAAATGAACTTATTGGCTGGCTGGGAATTAAATTGTATAAAGCATGTTTTGTGAGATGAGCCAAGATGGTAGGGTTATTTGTGACTATTTCTGTAAAGAAACTCCTTAGAGATTGTAGACTTTGATGAATGAAGACACTTTAGATCAGTAGGAACATTGTTATAACAAACAACATAAAGAATGAGTTCTATAGTCTGAACAACTTGAATTAAAACTTTCTAGCATTATCAGTTGCATAATGTTAAGTCTTGTTTACTCAGTCAGGTCTTTCTTTGCTTGTAAAATCACTCAACTGTAGTATGTAGTTTATAAGTTGGAAGAAAAATTCAGAAGTTCAAAAAATGGATTCCACATGAAATAAATATTAGTGTTTAAATGTTTTCCTTTCTTTCCTGCACAGAAATGGCATTTTTAAACAAAAAATGGATTTACTACAAGAATCCAAAGTGAAGAAAATTATTTTTATCCAGGATAATCCTTTTCTTTAGAATTCAGGGCAACTGTTTAATCCTTCTATTAGCCTATTAGCATTCTACTTCCTTTTGGAAAAGTACTAGAGTCTGTAATAAACACTGAATTGATTAAGCATCTCACATCGCAGGGTCTTCTTTCAGATAAGAAGTATGTCTTTTCTTCTAGTGACCTATTAATGATTATTGCTGAAACTTTAGATAAGAATGGTGAAGCTCAGGATGTTGCTTTGGATATCTCAAAGGCATTTGACAGTTTGGCATACTGATTTCTGGAGAAATTTTTGAACTGATTCAGTCTTATCAAATCATGAAAAGAAAGTTGTTTTGAATGGCCACTCTAAATCTTTTTGCATTAATGCAGGTGTTTCCCAGGGGCTCTCTTATCTTTGGGCCTGGGTTGTTCCTAATTTTCATCAACAACCTTCCTGATATCATCAGTTCTCAACTTGGTATCAATGCTGATGACTCCACTATTTACTCCTGTTTTAATAGTGTCTGATTGGTTCAATAAAGTCAAATTGGCAGTTGAGCTCAAAAATGACCTACAATCTGTTGTTAACTAGGACAATTCTTAATTTTAATGCCTTCAAAATGAAACTGCTCACTTTTAATCATCAGTGAGAACATTTTTTGCATCTATCAGCATGGCTGATGCTAACCTTCAGGAGAGTGACTCATTGTGCCTACTTGGACTGATGTTATCCGTTGACATAAAGTGGAAAAATTATATTGAATCAATTGCTAGGTCTTGCTGCTAAGAAATTTGATTCACCGTGCCATGCTAGAGAATTTTTCTTGCCAGAATCTATCTTACATATTTATAAGTCTACCATTTGCTTTAAATATTGTTGTCACAGCTGGTCTGGTGCTCCTGCTATGTATTTGGATTCTTGATAAAATCCAAAGAATCTGCAATATTATTGGACCTGACCTAGCATCTTGACTTCATTCACTTTTCCACCACCATAACATAGCTTTCCTGGTAATTATTCTGATTAACCTTTCCCTTTATGAATTTAAGCATAGTACTAGATTAGCAGAAATATCTCATCATTTTACAGCTGAAATAGAAATAATTTCTATACTAATAGTTTCTTCTATTGCATGTTTTGCTTCTGGAACTCCGGCTTCTTGCTTCCCATTTACCTTTGATCTTCAAAAATTTAAATGCAATGTCAATCATTATCCTCTGTCTTAATTCCAGTTCTTTTATTGTTTTCTCTCCATAAAAGTGTTTTTTTTCCTCATATTCTTTAACATTTCGTAAGCGCTTGTGTCTTAGTGGCTCTGTTACTTTGCTTAGGGTGAAATGATTTAAAAAAAAACCCAAAAAACCAACTTTTTTTATCATTAGTCAAGGTCATTATATAAACAAAAACTCAGTAAATAAAAGTTGGAATTGTTCTTTCATGGTTGAATAAATGATTTCATGCAATATTTGGAATGACTTGTCTTTTAAACTTCATGAATAATGAGTATAACATTATCATTGAATAAGTTTTAATAATTTGTATTAAGTTTTATTTCTATTATGGCAAAATTATTGTATAAAGTGTATTTTTATTTTGGATGCATTAAAAATAATCTTCAAACAAAAAATATCTTTACTGATTGTTAGACAATCTCATGGCCAATTTGTATTCCTTTTGTTTATTACAGGATGCAAAATACTCTGATGAACATTATTGTAAAACAATTTCCATATTTCAAGAATGATATCTTCCAAGTTGAATGTTATGTCCGGAATTTACTTCAATTGACTTTATTCATGCCAACATATCGTTTGAAAATCTTGGAGCTGATCATTTCCAAAATGACAGCATTTGATGTAAGTATATTCTATTTATTACATCTTTTACATATGATATTGATTGAGACATCTTTTAGGTGGAAGATGTTTACATTTTTAAGCATTGTTAATTTTTGGTTTCTCATCATCAATTTAGGAATGTGTTGTGTCAAAAAAATTTTTAAAATGATCAAAATGTATTTTTAATGTTTCTATCATTTTAAAAAAAATGTTTTATCTTTTTAAAATATTCTTTTGTTTCAACTTCAATTAAGGCTAAGCATTTTATAAAATGATGCATTTGAACATTGATTATTAAATTTGCAGATTTATAAAATATGAGAAATTGTTCTTATAGTATCTGTCTATATTTCTGAGATGTACATTATTTGGACTATTGTTTGAATCTTTGTCGCCATATTTATTACAACATTTCAGCTGTTATATGCTCTGGCCTTCTTCAAGTGGTTGGAATGTCAAACTTAACCCTTTATTTTGCTCACTTTCTAGTTCACGTGCCATGTTTAATGGATGTCGGTTATCTCCTGTTAATTTCCCTCTGAAAGTTCTCCACTGCCTTAACTGGGTAGCGAACTTGCACTCTTTGGGTCCTGTCACTAGATCTAACCAACGCCTTTATCCACTGTGAGGACATCTGTGTATGAATTTCTGGGTATTATAAACCTAATGTCTTCAGCAACCATTTTTACCAGTGCTCATATTGCAATTTTTTGCTGTAATTATTTTATGTTTTTACCAGAGCTCATATTGCAACTTTTGTTGCTTTCGTTTTTCTCTGGCACTCCTTATTACTGGTTCCCATATTGTATTCATTTCTATGCTTGGTCAGCTCAGGAGATTTTTCTGGCCTAGCATATGTGCTGATTCTTTAAGTTTATGAATTTTCCAATGGTATTCCTTGTCTATGATCTCAACCTGATCCCACAGAGGGCAGTGATTTCCCTTCTCTCTCCATATGTGGTCAGCCACGCCTGATTTTTCCACTTCCCCTCGTGTTACAGCTTTCTGATGTTCTTGAAGCCTTACCTTAAGGGGGCGGCCTGTCTCCCCTTTATATTTCTTTCCACAGCTGCACGGAATAGCGTACACACAGTCTTTAGTCATGTTCTCCTCTATGGGGGGTCTTACTCGGGAGAGATATCTGTGAAGTGTTGTCAAGCTTTTGAAGGTTGTCCTGATGTTATATGGACTGCAGATCCTTTGTATTTTCTCTGATAATCCCTTCACATAAGGCAGGCAGACTGTTTTCTGAGTGTTGTTGTCCTCTTGTACCTGCCTATCCCAGTCTTTTGAGGCTGCTGCCATGTACTCAGGGTAGTTGTTACATAGTAGGGTATTACTTATACTGACCAATTCTTTATCTAATGTGTCTGGGTTGCCACTTATGACTTTTGCTCAGTGTTGTAAGCAGCGGATGATCCCTTTTTTTATGCTGTATGGATGGTGGGGTTGAAATTGAGGTACTGTCCGGTGAATGTCGGTTTACGGTATATGGATGTCTTGAACCCATGCTCTGTTCAAGATATTAGAACATCCAGGAATGGGAGTGTGTTACTCTTTTTCTCCATTGTGAACTGTATTAAAGGTCTTATTGAGTTCACATAGTCCAGTAGAACCTGAACATCTTCCTGGTGTGGCCAGAGTATGAAGGTGTCATCTACGTACCTTAACCATAGAGTTGGCTTTAGAGATATAGATTCTAATGCCATTTCCTCAAAGTATTCCATGTATATATTTGCCATTGCTGGTGATAATGGCGAGCCCATTGCTAAGCCCTCATCCTGTTGATATATGTGTGATCCCATTCTGAAGTGTGTTGTTTGTGTACAGAAAGTCAACATCTCCATCAGATTATCTATTGGAATACTGGTCTGTTCTAGGGAAGAGTCAATCTGTCTCTGACTACTGAGAGTGCCTCCTCCGTGGGTACCTTGGTGAACAAACTCACCACGTTCAAGCTCACCATCTGGTTGGATAGGATGGGAGCATCTTTGATTATTTCCACGAAGTGGCCGGAGTTTCGGACATATGAAGGAGACTTTCTGTTCAATGGGTCAATTATATCTACAAGGAAGCAATTCAGAGGGTGGCATCCAGAGCCTTGGTAACTAACAATCGGCCTGAGTGGAATACCATCTTTGTGAATCTTAGGGAGACCGTATATATGAGGTAGCTTGGTGTAACGCTGTGATAACTGCCTATACGTCGTAGGTGCAAAGTGATCCTTGTTCTTGATTAGTATCTGTGACAGTTTGCATTCTGATTTCATTGTAGGATCCTTTTTTACTTTGCTGTAGCTACCATTGCTTCCAGCTTTCTTGTATAATCTGATTTGTCCATCACTACAGTCACATTGCCTTTGTCAGCTGGTAGTGTGATGTTTTCATTCCTCTGTAGGGATCCGATTGCCAGCTTCTCCAGTTTTGTTATGTTAGACCTGGGTAGCTTGGCCTTCTCCAAGTTCTGTCTCACCTTCCATCTCAGTTCATCTGCCTGAGCCTGATGAATGTTCAAGGCTACCTTCTCGACTCTGGCAATGATGTCCAAGTATGGCACTCACCTGATGGTTGTGGCGAAATTGAGACCCTTATTCAATACTGACTCCTCAGAGGCACTCAACTGATATTGGCTGATGTTTATTACTGCTTTCACTAGTGGGTGATGGACCTTGTGCGTCACCTTTGGTCTTTCAATTTACTTAATTTTTGTACTTGGCAAGCCTTAACTACATCGAATTCATGTCTGAAGGATTTATCCAGGTCATTTTGGATCCTTCTCAGGTCATCTTCATTAGTAATTCTGTTGAAGAAATCCTCGAGCCTCTGGGAGATATGAGCTTGTAGTCTCTGTTTTATCCAATGATTGTGCTGGATTCCAGATGGGCTCTCCTTGAATTGACAGGAAGTCTTGGTGCCAAGCCTGAAGGGATGAGTTGTAGGTCTCTGCATCAGTGTAGGAATGTCAGATGGTTTGATATTCATGCTAGTTTCTGGTAGGATTTTTCAATTTGTCTCCATATTTTTGGTATATCGGGTCTGTACCTGATCCTTCAGTATCTGTCTATATTTCTGAAATGAGATATTATGTACATTATTTACATTATTGTCCTCATCTAGGCCAGAAAAATCTGAGCCAACCAAGCATAGAAATGAATACACAGTAATAAGGAGTGCCAGAGTAAAGCAATAACAACAAAAGTTGCAATATGAGCTCTGGTAAAAACATGCATTACAGAAAAAAATTGCAATATGAGCACTGGTAAAAATGGTTGCTGAAGACATTAGGTTTATAATACCCAGAAATTCATACACAGATGTCCACAAGGACATATGGCACAGTGGATAAAGGCGTTGGTTATTAGGACTCAAAGAGTGTGAGTTCAATACCTGGTTAAGTGGAAATTAACAGGAGATAACTGATAACTGACATCCATTAAACATGGCACGTGGAACTAGAACAGTTAAATAAAGAAGGCCAGAGCGTACAACAGCCAAAATGTAATAAATATTCAATAGTCCAAATAATGTAAATAATGTTCTTATAGTGTCCTTGATCCTTTGGTATTGTGTAAAACAATATATCAAAAAAAAAAAATTCTGTCTCTCACCCACACATGTACACATATATATTAGTCATTGGATGGTATCAATATTTTTACAGATTTCAATACAATTCCCAATTCGGATACCAACAATGCTTAAATTTCATAATTTTTAAAGCCCAACAGTTGATTTGAACAAAATACATTTAATGAACAAAATACATTTATTAATAAAAAAATTTAGTAGAAAAATGAATACAAAAGATTATGAAATAAAGTTAGATATACTTTTTATTTAAAAAAACTGGGTAAGTGTTTAAACAATAATGAGGACAATTTCTTTACGTAAATAACTTAAATTAGCTATAGTTGACATATTGCTTTATTTTGATTATCATCAGAAATCTTAAACTTCCAAACTACACTTTTCTGCTTGGCATTGGATACACTTGTCATAATTGGGGTCTGAAAATAATAAACATTGGTTAAAATTTAAATTTTTCACTGTTTGATAAAAAAGCTTCTAGTTTTCTAATGTGTATAATTTGTAAAGATTCAGCTAATAACGGTTTTCTATTAATTGTAAAATAAAAAAGGGTTTATTTTTTTGTCCACATTTTTGAGTTTTAACAAGCAAAGGCACCCTTTAAATATTATGCAATCTCCTTAAAGTTTTATATGAGGTATTTTCAATGAATGGAACAAATTTAGGGGTGACAATTCAGCATGCACTTCAAAAATAAGACACCCTTTATTTTTTTTTATTATATATATATATATATATGTAGAAAATTTTTTTTTTTTTTTTTTTTTTTTTTTACACAATTAAAATTTATATATATAATGTAAGTAATACAATTATTAATACTTAGGAATTCATGTCACTAATATTTGATCAATCAAAGAATTTCTGCAAATCTTTTATCTCCTGCTACAAAGTTTGAATAATTTTATGTCTTAAAGAAATTAGTATGTCTAGCATTGGTTTAATTTAAAAAATTACTTGGAAGATGATATAAAAAAAAAAAACATTGGACTATTAGGTGTCTCTTCTGGCCAATATCTCCTAAATTTTATTTATAAGATTACATACAGATGGAATAAAGATTACAGCAAAGTAGGGTATTGAATTAAAAAAACAAAGAATAAAATGATATGAAGCTAATAATGACAGAAAGAAACACTAGGTTCACCTCATAATTCTGGCATTGTGAAATATAGCCATTTAAAATATTTTATGCTTTTAATTATGTTTTATTTTAGGTTTCTTGTCCTCGACATATTATTATTGAGGCTGAGAAAGAAGATGAAGCTTCAGATTTTGTGTTTGAAATGGTAAGTTTCTTTTTAGCAATCAGTATTTATTGTTTGCTAAAAATTACTAATTTTTCAGATTTGACAATAAATTATTTTGACGGAAAATACATTTTGTGAAACCCTGATTATGTTTCAATTTATTAAAGGTCAAATATAAAGGTATTATAGATGGATTACAGTCAATGATTACATATCCAGATGAATAAATAAGGAGTGTATTAAGAGTACCCAGACTCCATGTTAATATGCTTTGTTCACTTTAAACTCTAACACAGGCCTACCTGAATGCATACAGTCATAAGATGTCAAATACCATCCAGCAATTCATTAATCCACACCACTTAAACTTTTTGATACAATGCAGCAAGAGATGTATTTGAGCTAATGGAAATAGTTAGGCATCATCCCATTATGTCCTATGAATATTCAATGAGGGGCAGGTCTAGTAATCATGTCAACAAAAAGTTGTCAAACCTCTTGCAAGACAGTAGTATGATGGCTGTTATATGGGTAGGAACTATCCTGCTGAAACAGCCCATTATATTCTTATTGCAAGAATGGCAGCAAAATGGTTGGAACAATGTTCTAGTTGTACAGGGCACTGTTCAATATTCTCTCTACAAACATCTAAGTCACACACCCAAATGATAGTATGGGCTATATGTCTATGGAAGATGTTGCTCTTTTCGTCTATCACACTTGCAACCAATGATTTGTAATGCTAGAAACTGCTCTCCTTAGTGAATGTTAAAGAGTACCATTCAGTCCTCCAGGTGTGGAAGTGTGGCTAGAGGCACATGTACCTATTGTTAAGTACAATTAATTCCCAATGGTCAGTGTTCTCACTCATGGGACCATATTTTCTGTACCCTATTCTGTGAATATTATGTTGTCTGCCAATACTATCCAGAACATGGTCTGTGGATGTAGGAATGTCCATTTGATTACTTTTGCCAACATCAAAGCAACATTAACATGTCATGTCCAACATAATTCTCTGAAATGGCTTTCCAACCTCTTGAATATTCACAATCTGATTCCTGTCAAATGTCTTTAAATGAACAAAAGGAACTTTCAACATGACACAGGCTTGCACTGGATACTTCTACTCCACTAAGCGTCATTACAGTGTGTGGTACATTCTAAAACTCCAGACATAAACAATACAACTGCATGACTATGTTGCAAGATATTAGAAAACTTTGAAAATATTTATCTACTACCTGCTAGTATGTACATCCTGTTCCTTTCTTCAAATCAGTAACAACCTTCAGTGTTGCATTTTTATCTTCTGTTAATGGAGAGTTAATATTTTAGAATATAGAAGCATTAATTTTAGTTGCAGAACAATTTCTTTTTATAAATGTTAAGACTTTGGAGATGAAATAGTTGCAAAGATGATAATTACATAATAATTTTCTAGTTAATAAAAGTTATATTAATGAATGTAATTATCACTTTGTGTGGGTACATAAAGGAATAGTTGGCCTTAGTCAAACAAGTCAATTTAGATGTATAGATAATTTTCTTTTGTATGTTATATTATTTTAAATTTGTAATGTTTTAAACATTTTACTTAAGAGTATGTTATATTTAGATAAGAATTTTGTTGTTATGCTAACAGCCTTTAAACATATTTTTTTTTTTATTATCACTGATTTTTAACTGTTACTTCATAACCCTTCCACTTAATTTTGGTTATTTTCTTCCTTGTGTAGACAATTTAATATTTTCAATTTTTGAATTAAAATTTATTTTTGCAGGTTTCAGCACTCTGTCATTTATTGAAGATCAGGAAAAAAAGATGACTGTCTGTAGTTATGAATGTTTCTTTTTCTTTTTTTTTTTTTAATCACTTCACCCAAGGCAATAATGTCACTAAGATGCATGGGGGCTATTGGAAGTGAAAGAGAATGAAAGGAATTTTAGAAGGAACTGGAAACCCAATTGTAAACAGGAAACAAGGGATAAAACTTTACTCCTGTTAAATGAATGAAAGCTATTTTTTTAACTGCATTTTAGGAATCTTCTTTAATTAAAATGATTTTTTTAAATTTTTTATACAGGATTTTGAAAAGACAAATGAAGACCTTAAACCTTTGCTGAAACTTCCAGAGGCTGAAGTTTTGGATATTCTTATGAGTCTTCTTTTAACCTATGTAACAAATACCATTTATCAAAGTAAGTCTTTATTTTTGTAGTCTCAACTGACTAGTATTTTACCATTGATGACATAAAAATGGATCTTTTAATTTTGTGTATTATAAAATTAGTTTTTGCTATCAATTTTATTTTTAGTTTGAGTGTTTTTTTTTTTTTTTTTTTTTTTTTTTTTTTTTTGTTTTTTCAAATTATATTTATTGACAGTCTGGCAGTATGACAAACTATAAAATGGTTTTCTAAAGTGAAATTCTTTTTGTAATTAAAAAAAAATTAATGAAAGAGCTTAATCTAAGTTTGATGTGATTGATGAGTGTGGTACATAGATAGTAGGTGGTGAACAAGTGAGATGAGAAAGGTCAAGAGAGACAAACATAAATTCAAATAAACCAAAGTTATTCTTCCTTTTTCTATTTGGATGCTACCGAGTTGGATTAATGGTATTTTAGTGCATAGGAGTTTCCTTGTTTCAGTTTATACATGTTCCTTAAGTGTTGGCTATGACAATATTGATTACATTGAAAGGTTTGAAGAGAAGCAGGCAATTTTGTTAGTTTTATTTTTAATTTCATAAACCCAAGCATAGAAGTACTACTTGAAAAGTCATTAATATGTAAAGTATGATGCTGCATGGTTTCAGCACATGCACTTGGTCCAACCTGTGTTATTAAATTCTTAAGCATTTAATTTTTGGTAAAAATCAGAGGTAGTCATTTTTGACTTATCCACATCAAATTCTATTTAGGTGTCATAAAAAATTGTGTATCAAAGACCATACACTTTTAAAATTAATATGAAAACCTTGTCTTGTGTTTGTAGCAGCTATTTGACTTATTTTTGAATGACCAATTTACTGACACTGATATTGTCTACAACATTTTAGGGATTTTTGGCTAGTGTTTTCTTTTGTCTATTTCTTTCTTTTTATTGCAACTTTTGTGATTGAATATTTTTACTGTTAAAGTAATGTGAAATAAAAATAATGAAGTAGTTTCTATGAAAAGTTCAACTTGTATCTCATATTTTGGGAATTTGTCATTTACGAGTGATGCTTTGACTAATTTAGCCAGTGATAGATTTAATAAAACCTGAATTTAAGACAAAGAATAGATTAGTAAAAAAAAAAAAAATTAATAACAATACTTTATTTCAGAATTGAATTAATTTATAACATTTTTTCTTTTGCATAACATTCTTTTTTCCAGATTTTGATAATACTGATGCCACAGATTTAAAATTGGATTGGTCAAGTTGCAAAAGATTATTCAGAGAATTGCTTTTAGTATTTGAAACTATTATCTTACCAACTCATGCCACCTGTCATATCCAGTTCATTTTCTTCTACATCTGTAAATATAATGTTGTAAGTTTTTGTTTTTCTTTTATTCAACATTATAATTTATTTTAATATTCCAATCTATATAAGATAATTATAATTATATAAGCATTTGTTAAAATTGTATCTTCTAACAAGTTTTGTTTGTGTAGTTTTGGACAAATAACTTTGTGAGCATAATTTTATATGAGCTTGTGCTGACTCTAATGAAATGGATTAATATGTATACTGGTAAATATTTTATGAAAAATAACTGTAGTATTAGATATATATATATACATCATGTTTTATAAAATAATAGTGATGTAAATTATAATATTTATCTAAGGAAATTTTTGTGTGAGCATGAGACTTCAACAGGACTATTTTTTTTTTTTATTATTTTAATCATTTTTTTTTTTTTTTTTTTTAAATCATTTCACACATGGGGTTACTGAATGTAAGAGAATATCAGAAAAACACTATTAAAGAGAGAGAAAAATAAATGAACAGGAATTAAGACAGAAGATAACAATTGACATTGCATTGAAGTTTCTGAAGATCAAAGTTGATTGGTAAGCAAGAAACCGGAAATCCCACAGGCGATAAGTGCAAGAGAAGAAACTGTTAGCATAGAACTTATGGTTTTATATAACCATTTCAACTGTAAAATGGTGAGAACTTTCTGCCAACCTAGTACTTCATAAAGTCTAGGTACCATAGTGGAAAGTGTATCGGAGCAATTAGCATGATTTATTGACTAAGGCACAGGGATGCTACATTACGGTGATGGGAAAGTGACTCTTGCAGATTCTTCTTTGGATTTTATCAAGAATCTCTAAATATATAGCAGAAGCTCAAGACAAGATATGGCAAGAATATTCACAGCAAAGATAAATAGTAGACTTAGAAATATGTAAAATAGATTCTGGTGAGATAAATTATCTAGCATGATTCAGTGAACAAACTTTCTTAGCAAAAGACCTAGCAATGGATTCAATATAAACTTTCCACTTCATACTAGATACAATATACACCAAAAGAATATTTAAACTGAAATCTTGTTATAAAACAAAGATCAAGATATTAGTCCTGTTATTCATTTATATAGTTATGTAGCTTTTTTCATTTTCATTGTAATAATTCCATACATGAAATAGATTAGGATTAAACAGACTGATGAAATAAAAATCTGAGCTTTTCAATTGTTTCTGTCTTTTTAGTTCAGAATACACTGATGTACTAAAATACACTAATAGCTTGTAGGACTCCTTGTGAAGTGCAGCAACTCAATCTGGCATTGATTCCACAAGTGGCCTGAAGATTTCTAGAGAGATGTTGTGTTATGTTGTTTCAGTAGCTTCCTGATATTTGTGTGTGAATCAACCTCTCCATCACATCCTATAAATGTTCAACTGGTCTCATGTTGGGTGACTGTGGTAGCTACACCATTTGTCTGATATCTCCAGAATGTTGCTCATATCAGTTTGAATAAACTTTGGCCCAATGACATGGTGCATTTTCTGGTTGGAATAATCCATTATTGTTGGGGTATATCAAATCCATGAGTGATCACAAAGCATATCAACATATCAGTCACTGGTCAATGATGTGTTTAAGCAGACAAACATGAACACATTCCACACCATTATGGAACCACTACCAACATGCATAGTTCTTTGTTCTATGGATTTGTGAGGTCTTCACCACACCTGAACCTTACCATTAACACAAAACAACTGGCACCATGACTCATTTGATTGTGCTACATGTTGCCAGTCCTCCAGAATCCAATAAATGGCATGACAAGCCCAGACCAGATGCTAGCACCACATGCATTAAATGTGAATGTTGCCATTGACAATTTTGGCGAGATGCTTCTAGTCATAATCACTAGTGATTGATTGTGAACCACTGCACTATCCATGTAAGGCAGTAATGCCTTCCATCAGTTATTCTGGTGCACACATGACATCATAGATTAAGAAATATCAAATGGTCTGACAATTTCAAAAATGGAATGTCAGATTTATCTGGTCCTAGTTGTTGGCAAGCCAACATGAATTACCAGATTTCAGATTGGGCATCCCAATCTGAAATCTAGTAATTCATGTTGGCTTGCCATAAGCACCCAGCCAGTTTTCACAATTGACACATCAAATGTCAAAGCACAACTAATATAAGTCAGGGTATTTCCTAATATTATCCTTCTATGTATTTGTTTTTGTTTGTAGGAGTTGTAATTTAAAATTTCATTTTGGAAAACAATAAACCCTCAAAAGTTAAAAGCATTAAAACTGTAATGACTTGTAGGTTATAATGTTAACAAATACATTTCCTGCTGGCTAAAATATAATTATTTTATGAATATGCTTATTAAATGTTGAGAAATCTTTCAGATTTGATTCTATTGTAATTTAAGCTATTGTTGTTATTTCTTTTCTTAATTACAGCAATTGTGTGATGGTTTTCTGGATTTCCTTTGGAAGAAATTTTACAATCCTAACACTAATACTGTATTCAGACAAGCTTGTGCTTCTTATCTTGGAAGTTTTCTGGCAAGGTCGAGGTATCTGCCTACCAGGTGAATAATTTTACAGCAAATAAAATTTCCATGGTTTTTTTCTCAAGTTGTGTGAATTGAAACACTCCTCTTTTTTTTTTTTTTTTTTTTTTTTTTAAAGTATATCCTGCATTTCAAAGAAATAAGTTTAAGTTCCTTAAGTCAGACCTTATTGTAATATAGTCACTATATGTTATTTTAATCCAAAGGAAAATTTCTGATTTTCATAATTTTAAATTGATTTGATTTATATTATTATTTATCTGATAACAAAAACATTATTTCTTTGGAATTGTTTTAGATGTAAACGGGTGTGAACAATTTTAGTCAAGATATTTCTTTTTTGTTCACTGTTAATTTACCAACAATGTATTGTTCTAATTTATTGAGCTATGAAACATCCAGCTCATGTCCCCTCCCATTTTTCTTTCTTTTGACTAAGGATTCTACTTACACATATATGTATACAACTATTTTCTTTACTTTTGGTAAAAGTGATAAAAGATAGTAAGCTGAAAAATATTAAAAAAGCTAATATGATAAGCTATATCTGTAGTAAATATGTTTGTTATACATACTTTATTAGGATTGTTGAGGAGGTGCCCCTTAATCTGTTTTATGATTTTAGAAAGTTTCTAATTGTATTGAAATTAGTTTTTGCTTTTTTTTTTTTTTTTTTTTTTTACATGTCACTGGTTTGAGTTTGAACAAAAGTTTCAATTTAATACTCAAAATACTTGTTTCTATTCGTACATTTATTTCCTTCTTTTTTTTTTTTTCCAGCTCAATGATAATGTGCCTTGATGAATTTTGCAATTGGATACATTACTACATTGATTTAGTGATAATACCAAAAGATAAAAAGCCTAATTTATTTATTTCTCATGGCTCTTTCTATTATTTATGCCAAGCAGTTTTTTATGTGTTTGTGTTTCGACACAGAGACATTTTTGAATCTGCTAAAGGTGAGTACATTCAATATATATAAATTGCTCAACTTGATTTATTGATGGTATTTTTTTTTTTTAAGTATTGAATAGTTTTATCACATTGTTTATTTCATAATTTTAGAGGAAAGATCCTTTGACTAAGTTTATAAATTCTGAGGCATTGCATCTCACCAACATGATATGTGGGTTAGAACTCTAATTATCTCTGTGGCCATTTCATTTTTACACTCAAAAATGTGCAAGCATGAATTATTCTCTCAAACTGACATCAAGGATTTACCCCAGTCAGGGGCAAACTGTGGTCTGATTAGCTTTCTGAATAGCATGCCTAAATATTTTCACAAGGAAAATATGTTTATTAAAATGTTTGTTTCTTTTCATTCTCACTTGTTCACTCACACACTCTCTCATGTATAACTACATACATAAACAATGATTAAGTATAATGTTTCTTGGGTTTTGTAAAATTTTATTGAAAGCAACATTGCCAGAATTTTAAACCATTGACGATTTTCGCTAAGGATGATCATACATGTAAACTTCTTTTGCTTCAGAAACGTCAATGGTAATTATTCTTTTACAAATATTTTTGTCTACTCAAATGAATAAATTAGAAACACATCACATGCCACAATGTATTGTTATAGTTGTTAATCAGTGAAAAATTTATACCAAGATTTCCTTTTTTTTTTTTTTTTTTTTTTTTTATACAAGAAATCTTTTCTCGAAGAGAAAAAACAAACTTTTCTCCATTTCTAATTTTGTTGGGAAAATGGCTGTGGTATCTTTTATTAAAAACCCCCCAAAAAAACAACCTTTATTCTTTTAGTAGTGTGGTCTACCTATGATGCACTATACCTCATGCGTCCTACGGTTAAAAAAAGATTTGGCTTATCTCCCCTGTTCTTATTTTGTATGAATATGGTAGTTTTATTTTCATGTTTTTAAATTTGGTCCAGTTCGTTCTGTACTTACAGACTCTGATTTACTGTTGAATTCTTTGTGGAATAAAACTTATGAATACGCTCAGCTTTGCTTCATTTTTGAAAAAGTTTTATCTATTTTCAGTAAAATATGACATAATCTAATCTTACTTATTATAAAACGCAGATTGTGTGTGTGTGTGTGTGTGTCTGTAACGTTTATATATTGGATCGGATTTCCTACATTTTTCAACCGATTTCAACAAAACTTCACAGGACTACATAAAATTACCTTGTGGTGGTTCTAACAGCGCCAAAAATGGGGAAAAATATAATTGTTTTTGCACAAAATCAATTTGAAAACAACGATTAAGAGACATCGTGAAAATGGAAGGGGACAACTCACATCGGTTTGTTTGTGTGTGTGGGTTACTTTAAATATGGGAGCGGATTCCTATATTTTTCAGCTGATAAAACAAAACTTCACTTTTTTTTTTTTTTTTTTTTTTTTTTTTTGTTTGGTAGTGTTTCTTATTCTCTTGCACACTTTTTTTTTTTATTTTTAACATTCAGAATGCTTTAAAAATTCCATTTACAAGACAATTATTTATAATAAAATTCTATTCAATCAGTAGACTCATAACGATTGAAAACAATGTTTTTGTTTGAGTTTGGGTTTGAGCAATAAAAAAAAATAAAAAATAATTAAGACATGCGTGTCCGTCAACCTTAAACAATAATCTAACGATCTCTACTGATTGTACGAATACAAACATAAATTCTTTATCTTTAGGGAAAGATAATAAAATCTAAACATACACAAGTCCTAACTAAAAATAATAACCAGAACAGGAAACTACTTTAAATACACATGGTGTCCAATTTTTTTACTGTATTCAATAAGTAAAAATCATAAATTGTAAAAGATTATTATATATTACAGAGAAGGCTACTAAATGAATAAGATTTGTTAGATCATAATTAATAAACCCAAATAAAGTTAATATTTTTTGTATTAGAAACAACAAGTGAAAAATATATTCAAATCAGAATTCTAATTATGAATCACCACAAGCAAAATATGCAATTTTTTTTACTGTATTCAATAAGTAAAAATCATAAATTGTAAAACTAAAAGATTACAGAAAGGCTACCTAAATTTTTCAACCGATTTCAACAAAACTTCACTTTTTTTTTGGCATGTAGTGTTTCTTATTGTCTTGCACACTTTTTTCTTTATTTTTACATTCAGAATGCTTTAAAAATTCCATTTACAAGACAATTGTTTATAATAAAATTCTATTCAATCAGTAGACTCATAATGATTGAAAACAATGTTTTTGTTTGGGTTTGACCAATTCGTAAAAAAAAAAAAAAAAACTAATTAAGACATGCGTGTCCGTCAACCTTAAACAATAATCTTTGTCAATTTTATTTTTCAGTCTTTATGATGGTGGATACTTGACCTATCTCTTACTGTTATATCCCCGGGCAACGCCAGGCTCTACTGCTAGTATATAATATTAAGTGGGTTTCTAGGTGTTATAAACCTTTACATTCCATCCAACAAAATTTATCTTGAATTATGTCAGTTTGAAATTCTTTAATCATCTAAAACTTATGAAAATGTTTTCCTGATTATAATTAGTTAGTCAACTTGTAGAAAAGATAAAAAAAGTTGTTTTTTTTTTTTTTCATCTCTAAATTTTGCAGAATAATACGGTTAATTTGCAGTATAAGCACCCAAACCCCCCGGTAATGAGAATGTACCATTCTGGTGTGAAATTGCCTGATTATTTCGAAAATGACATTAAAACATTGTGCTTGATTACCATTTAGGATCAATGCAAGTTTGATCTCTTTCACGTTGTCTGGTCGCCATTACTGGCTTTATTTACACATGTTTGCCTCAAGTAATAATGTGCAGAAGCTTGTGGCAGACTTCAACACATTAATTTAACTTTAGATTAGGAAACAGGACTGACACAGAAAAGGACAATGGGATTTTCTTTTATATTCAAAGATATATTTTTATTTGTTTTTAATAATCTTGAATTTAAAAACAACTTTGTATTAAATGTGAAAATTTTGACAAAAAATTTTTCAGAAAAACTGGACAAAACTTTCTTAAAGGTTATAAAAATATTTAGTAAAAAATTTGTCTTTGATGAAACTCTAATTGATTATGTATGAAAAAAATTTGCAGCAAAATGGATGAATACTTTTTGCTTTTTCTTGTTTTCATAATTTAAGGTTTTAATCGTGTCAGCACTTGGAATTTCCAGCATATTGTCACATGTCATTTAAATCCTCTCAAATTTTGTGCACCACATTTAGTAGAAAAGTTTGCCAGTATCACAAGGTAAGTATATTTGATAGCATTTATTTAGTTGATATTAACTTTTAAATTTTATCAGAATGTGTGCACACAGGATGAAAGGCATCAGCTTTTATACAGAAAATCAAAATCAACTGCATGTAGGCTACTTAAAACAATTGTTTAATTAATTTTTTTTATAAATTCACTAAAGTTTGAAGAATAAAACATTATTTCCAAAATAATAATTGATATGTAATAACAAGTAGATTACATATATATTCACATTACATCCTCTTGTAACACTGAAAAAAAAATAGTGCACACGTTCTACCTTATTCATAATGACCACTCTGTTTCAAATTGACTTTCATTTCTTATATCAAAAGAACACCAATGGCATCAGTTATTGTTACTGGTAAAAAAACGAATAGATTGAAACTTGTTTTTGTTTCTTTTTTGTTTTGTGCATATTTCAGTGTAAATCTTCCAAAATGATTCCAACAAAAATTTTGGATTATACACAATTCACAAATAATAATTTTCATAATCATATCCCTATATTTGTCATATCTGACTTCAAAATTTGTTTGTTGTAGGCTTTATCAGATCGCCATGTGTGACACTATAATTGAAAGAAACCGACGAGAAGTTTTTGATCATGAGTTTCTTGAAGTTTTTACTGCAGAGAAGAAAAACAATTTGGATTTTTTCTTTCCTTTTGATCCCTGTGTATTACCAAGGTATTTTTCTTAATTCTTTTTTTATTCATTTTGGATTAAATAGCATTGATACACTATTAGTACATTTACTTATTAACAATTTAAAGTTTTTTTTTTTATTTACTATCACAAAATATAGAATCAAAATATGCTAACTACACTGACAGAAAATGAAATTACCACACACTGATGGTGCAATGGAATCTTATTCAAGTGAATACTTTCACAGTATGGGCCAATAAGTACCTGAAGATAATTGATTTGAAAATGAATCTTTTTTAAAATATGAGATGAATTTAAGTACTCTGTAGTAAAAAGTTAAAATATGTTAACCTTTCATGCTAAAACAATTTGAAAATGTTTTTATCATTCTGGTATATTTCAGCTTGAGAAATGTAATTTAGTTTTGACAGCATTATTGGCAAAAAATATGGAAACAAATGAGCCACAAGTTGAAGAAGTCTCTCTCAATATTTACAAAGGTGGATTTTTGAAGACAAACCGAAAAGATAGAAAAATTACAGGTTCACATTTAAATTAAGAGATTAACAGTTGTTAAAAAAAACAAAACAAAAGCAATCCAGAAATTCAGTTAAAATTCAACCATCTGTCTTATTAAAAGCTGAAAGAAATTGAAGATATGTCTATAGAGTGTTCCAGCAATGAGTTACAGAATTGGAATTGAGCATAGCAAGTCCGGAATTTCAACTAAATTGTTTTTAGTCATTAAATCAGCACTAGCAACTATTTTCACCACTATCCGGAAAAATAACTTGAATTTTTTTTTAACATTATCATTTATAGTTGTTAGTTGCATAATAAAAACGCAATTAAAATGTTTAGGGAATAAACATATTTATTTTGATCCATTCACTCTTTAAACTGATGTCTCCATGCTCTCCAATCATTATCTCAATGTTTGGTCACTGCTTTACCTTGATCATATTGCTGAGCAGCAGGGCCATGCACAGAGATTTCCTTGAACATTTCAGAAAGACTGTTATGTAAATGTTGTTTGTTCATCCAGGTTTTTTAACCAAGAAATGGTAGAACGATATATAACCTTCTTGTTTTGTTTGTTAAATCAAAATTAGTTCTTACAATTAGGTACAAATGATTTTCATATTTAGCGATAAATAATGCAAATATCTATATTTCAGTCCTTCATCTTGCATTTTTCATTCAGTTTTTACTCACCTGTTAAAAAAAACACTTAAGTTTTGTTTATTTCTTTTGTTTGTCTGTGCTTTATTTATTAAAAGCCTGCCACTATTGGTGAAAAGTAATTATTTTTTTAGTTTGAGAATTTGCTTTTAGAATAAATATAGTATTTAAATTAAAAATTTTATATCCTGGCATTGTTTTAAAAATCCTAACCAGTCATCCCAGTGTAATGTTCTATTAACATTAATCTACATTAATCTTAAGCTCTGCATCAAACATACTCCAAGTAAACTAAATATCAGTGAAAAATTTGGAGTTGTATAAGTATGAACAAATATCTTTGTTGGGAAAATCAGATTATAGAATGCTTGAAAGGTTTTAAAACATCTTCCAAGTTCGTTTTACTAAACAAAATTTCATCAACTTATTCAGTATCTAGACAAATTTCATTTTCTATGCTTGCACCTGTCCTCAGTGTGTAGATGTGTATATCTAGAACAAAGCCATATCCATCCAACATTTGAGTTTACTGTTTTCAATATGAGTTTTACTTCTGATAGTGTTTTATGTTTCATCATTATTTCTAAAAGTTTAGCAATATTTTTTACCATAAAAATCTTTATTATATTGTTATTTGTAACAAACTTTTTTCTTTTCTTTTTTTTTTTTTTTTTTTTATTTACAGAACAAATAAGTTTTTGAAGCCTCTTTTTCGTGAATATGATAGTGCTGAAAGTAATGGTGATGTGGCTGCTGTACAAGTGATGGTAAGTGGCTACAGTTTTGACTAAAATTTGTTTTTACTTGTAAAGTAAAGGAATTTAGACTTTTGTTTATTATGTAAAAATCATATACCAAATAATGGAATAAAAACATTAAAAAAAGTTATCTTATTTTACCCTTTAGAATGTTCCATATATATATGTTTATATGAATTAGTATCAAATATAGATCATGATCTGACAGAATGATAAGAAACAAATATGAAATGTTTATAAATCTAACGTCTATTTAATTAGTGATATTTATAAAATCATAGTTATTGCTAGTTTTGTTCCTGTGTATTTAAACTTGCTTGTAATATACAGGAAAAAAAATTGTCCATAACTTCGATTAATTAAAAAAAACAACAAAAAAAAACATAATTCTTTATACAGGAAATACTTTGAGATAATTCTGATAAATATTTTACCATCTATAAAAACATGACAAATGCACTTTATTATATCACCAACTTTTATAAAATTCATACTTAAAGAAAGTAAGATATGTCTACCAACCTAACTACTACTACTAGTGGCAGGGGCGGACTGAGAATATTACAGGCCCTCGGACCGAAAATGCTATGGGCCCCCTTTCCCAATTTTTACAGTTAAATGCCACATATAGAGGCTGTGCAGCAGGTGATCTGTGCATATTGGCTTAAATAAGAAAAAACTTTAGTTTAAGATTAGTGTTGGGATGATTCCTAATTTTTTTCCAATTCCAATACCGATTCCAGGAAAATGTTGATTCACGATTCCGATACCAAGACAATTCCGATTCCTTGCCTACTTAGGTTCTACCTGTATGTGTAGGGAACCCCAATTTTCAGCAATCATGGGAATCGATTACGGGAATCGATCACGGGAATTGTTTTGAAACGGAAGCCAGGTTTTTTTTTTTTTTTTTTTTTTTTTATGCAATTGTTTTCAATGTTAAATTAATCTTTTTTCTTTTTCTTTTTTTCTTTTCTTTTCTTTTTTTTTTTTTTTTTTTTTTTTAATATAATGCTTTAAAAAAAACTGTCTTTTGTATTTTTGTAAATATTTTAAAGCAGGACCTTGTTATTTCTTTTAATTTTATTCTTCGTAAATATTTCTAATTATTTTCCTTTTAACACCTAAAGAAGAATTTTAAAATTCAATGTCTGCATTCATAAAAAAAAAATCCTGAAAAATATTCATTATCTAGATTTATTAAAAAAAATAGTTAAGAAACTGTTTGTAGGAAGGAGATCAAAGTCAGTTAGTCCCCCTCTCACTCCAAATATACTGTGTCTGTTTCACTGATTAAGTTAAGTGTAAGTGGGATTTATAGATAAGTTTGATCTAAAAAAATGAAAGAAAGAAAAAAAGAGCAAATCAAATACATTTTAATAACGTATTTCTTTGGTTTCATTTTATAACTTGTTATTTTTATGAAATGGTACATTTCTCACTTACCGGTTAGAAATATGGAAAAAAAGTTTTCTTTTTTCAACATCAGACTAATTTAAGAGAAACGTAATGAAAGAATCAGAAATCTAAAGTATTTATTTAACAATGCGATTCCGATTACCCCCAAATTACACGATTCTTACGATTAACGATTCCGATTAAACGTCCCATCACTATTTAAGATATGTAGGCGTTTATATGCATCAAAAGATTTGAAAAATTGAAGCTCATAAAGATGTTCATGGACACATAATGATAGTAACAACAAAGCGTAATGACATGTCAAACAAAATTTCCATTTTATTACTGCAAATCAATACATAAACAATGTACTAAATTATAAAATTTATAATAGATATTAAAAACAAATAATAAAATGTGTTAACATACACTTTTAAAAATATTACTTACATTTTAATACGTCTTAATATAAGATATACTATGCTTTACAATAATACTGAGCCAAAAATTTCAAATATCAACTTTCAAGGATTACTGTAACAACATTGTACTCATTTCAGTAGAGGATTCTGCAATATTATCAATAATTTTGTCTTTGTTTGATTTGATTTTCATTGCTATGTCTTTTTCAATAGCAATTAGCATAAGTGACTCCAAGTTATTTTGTGTGAGTGAAGATCTCAGCCTTGTTTTCAACAGTCTTAGTTTAGAAAAACATCTTTCACATGTGCACTGTGTGATGCTTAGAATTACAATAAATTTATATGCAGCATATAAATTTTCATATGCAGCTGCACACAGCCTGTACTCAGATAATAGCTTGAAAGCACATGACAAACAATTCTTGCATGTTGTTTTGGCAGATGATTGAGTAACATTTGTATCCTCCTCCTCTGAATCCAAGCTGTCTGAATCATTTTCATTGTCATTTATATTTTCTAGCAGCCCTTTTTTCAAGTCTTTGTAGCTTGATGCAAATGAAATCAGTTCATCCTGTAGTGCCACTATGTCAATTTCTGGTATTGCATTAGCAATCAAACCTAGCTCAATGTTTTGTGGGGATGCCAAAATTTCAGAAAACCTGTTTGGATCAAAGCAGGAAATTTGCTTACAGAGCTTCTCATGAGATGAGAATCTAGCTTGCATGCTGGAGAGCACAGCATCAATAACCGCATTATGGTATAAAACCTCAAAAATTTTCTTCTCGTATGATTTAGAAGAATGTGGTAAGATCTAATGCACTTACTGGCATAAATTGACTGTCAATTTTGTCAATTTAAAAACAATATTGATAAAAAAATTTTTTTAAATATTTTGCTTGAATTCGCATTAAACCCTCTTATTGACATTTTAAAAACTTTGACTTAAGAAATTACATAATGCGAATTTAAATTTACTCAATATTTGTAACAAATTAGCATAATTACAGATGTAAACAAAATAATTAGTCAATATTTTAACTTGCTGAAATGCTTGGCAATGGCAACAGACAGGAATTTATTAGGTGTCCTTTCTTTGGAAATTCTAAATATCATATGAAAATTTTAGTGTCTTTTGGGAGTGACAGGGATGGGAGAGAGAGTTCGCTAAGACTTGACCGGTACTACAGGCGCCAGATTTATGGTCACCAGAATATTTTTACAATATTAAAATAATTTATTGCGTGTTTTCGGCCAGGCAAGGGGTGCAAGTGCGGCAAATCAAAAAGGATTCGATAAAGCGATGCCTTGCAGTCTAGCTGGGAACCAGTTTTGAACTTACCAGTCCCAAAAAACAGAGACATTCTTTTACTGCGTTCATTCGTAAGGTTTCTTCGTTTTCTTTAACTTTCTTTGTTTTTCTTTCTTTCTTCACAAATTTAGTTTGATTGCTAACGAAGATACTTTTTCTTCTCCAAATTTTCATTTTTGCACGGTCACGGATCTGCCCGTACTTGTGTCCGGCAGTCCACACGGCCATGAGAAACACACACAAGGGGGCCCGAGTCAGGCAGTCTCTAAGTTGCTCTAGTTGACGTGTAGATATATCTATATATATCTATTAAGCTATATTCCAACTGAGTTTGCTGGCTACAGAGAATTTAATGAGGTCTACAACATGTCCCATATACAGCTCACTGAGATTTAAATTGACCAAGTGCAGGGACCAATGGAAGTTAGCAGCCTTTCTGGAATGAATGATTGCCATAGGGAAACAAGTTACCAATAAGATTTGAATAAATCACTTGGATCAAAACAGACTCATAGCATTACAGAGACAACACCAACTTTTCTTGGAGGCTGGATTTTATAGCCTCCTGTTGTCTCTACATGATCCCAACTATCTGGAAACATAACTCCTCTGACAAGACAACATGCTGTCACTCTTCCATAGTTCAATAATGATCTTTGGCCTACACACAATAATAGTGTCAATAATAGTATCCTTGTTGGTTAATAACTATGACAATCCATGGGATGTAAGAGAGTACATTGTACATGGCATTTGGTTGATGTGTTGAGCAGAACCACCTGAATGTGATTTGAAGCAATGTTCCTCTCCATTAAGGAGTTACCATTTTTGTGCTGGTGTTTTCTATTTTTCATTCACCTCTGGTTACCTATAATTTTCACATGCTAGTGATGTCTGAGGAATGAATATATTTCTGGTATACCATTGCTACTGTTACCGAAGAATACCTTTGAGCACTTGAAGAATTGAAAACTGAATACCCCATCTTTCTGGTGTCAGTATTTGATCTGCATACAAACTATGATAAATCTTGTCTTCATCTGATGATTGCCACAGATACACCACCCATTACATCATAGATATCACCAGGCTGAGTCTAGGGTTATTTATTCTCTTTCTAGAAGTGGTTCTAATATAAATCAGACAAGATGGGGAACTGGATCAAAGTCCATCAAATGAAATAGCATATGCAGATGACTTTAATTTTATATCCAATTAAAATTCGAAGTATTGATGAAATTCAAAAAAGTACTCTCTAAATACAAGCTCCTAATAAATACGAAAAAACTGAACTCATAAACACAAAAGAAAAAAGAAAATACAAGGTGAACACTGAAGATATGAAAAAAATGTCATTCTTGATTGGAAATATAGAAGATATCACTAGGAGAAAATAACAGTTGAAATTATACAAAATTACTCATAAATGCATTACTAATATATAACTGTGGCATCTGGGGAATGATGAAAGTTGAAAAGTATAGGTTTGGTGCATACCATAGAAAACAACTGATTATTATCCTATGGGGATATTGCAGGAGTTATGATACACTGGAGATAAACTAGAAACTGATATCTGACACCATCAAAAAATAAAAATGGAAAATCTTTGGTTCCATACTAAGAGAACCAGTTGCACCAGCAAATATGGTAATAAAATTCTATTTCATATGAGAAATTCACAGGGTTACTTAGAACATGATCAATAGTATGAAATCAGAATCTAGACAGGTACTACAGTAACATCCAAATTTATCCTCAGGGCCACAATTACCATGACTGCCTGAAGATAAATAATGTTGTTGAACTAGGAATAATTTAAGTATTAGTAGAGGACATGAAACCTGAGGTGACTAATGAATAGCATCAAAAGAATTGGAGGGGTTGTCATGTTTAGGTGAAGTTGAACTCCTGTAATGTGTTTGGACAAGAAAATGTTGCAAAATTTAAAAATAAATAAATAAAATAAAAGTTACTTGTAGATTATATAGAAATTCAATATCTTCACATCCTAAAATTTGATAATCTATATTTTAATTGAGTTCTAATAAAAATCCCTTTTATAGACAAATTGATGGAATTAAGAGCTATTAGAATATTAGTTAAATTGAACAAATGTATAATGTAATTCATTTTAAACTTATTTGATAAATCTGCGACTAAAATTTAAAAAATCCTTACATTTTTAGATTTTTTGTCAATATTATCCACAAGTACATTTTGATAAGTAGAAAGCAAATTGTGTGTGTGTGTCTGTCTATATATATATATATATATATATATATATATATATATATATATATATGGCATACAACTTGATGTAGCTTTATATAAAATTGATTTTATTTCAGAATGATGATGAAGTTGATTTTCTTCCCCCTGAATCCTGTGATCCAATGCAAAGTATATTAAATGAAGATGAACTGTCATGCCATAAAGTTACAAATAGCATGGCCCGTGTTTCCAGTAAAAGTGAAAGGATATCACAGCCATTATTTGGTGAAAAAAATGAACTAATTGAAGAAATGATGGCAAGTTTATGATCAATAGTTTCTAACAATTGAAAAATGAAATGCTATGTAGCATTCATCAAATCAAATAAAAAAAAAAAAAAAAACAAAAAAAAAAAATAAATTTTAACCTCCTCAACCAACAAAGTGTGCATTTAATGGTTGGTGATAGTAATGCAAGGGAGATAAGCGATTTGTAATTGTGTCTGCTACTATTACTTCAGAAATAATCAAAACGGATGCTCAGCTTTATATTTTCATATTACAATTCTCTACATTAATAAAGAGGAATATTTATTTCCATTAAATTTACTTACTTCTACCTGAGGAATATATTCAAGTATAAATCAGATGACATAAAATTTCATTGTAAAAGGAAATGTGAATTTTTACATTTCATGAATCGTAGTAGCTTGAGGGATTAATTCTAATTTTATGTAAATTTGGAATGTTTGAAAAGTAAGTTACATAATTCTGCTAAATTCTGTCAAACTTGTAAAGTAGGATTTTAAAAAGTAAAATGTTTAAATTGTGTGCAAATAATAATAATTATCTTGAATTTTTGTTTTCAAGAGAATGTGTTTGGGGGTTTGATCACAAGTAATAATGTTAAATATTTCAAGAAGATTAAATCCCTTGAGTACTGAGATTACAATATAACAAGATTTATTTTTACTTTTATTCTGATTTTTTTTTGATTGGTATATTCTTTTCGGTTTCTCCAGACAGATATTGTAAATTGTGATTGTTAGAAATCACTTAATACTTTTTCCCTTTATTTCCCCAATAAGAAATAAGAAAAGCTGGTTTTATAACTTTAACAAAAGTCTCAGGTTAATGAGACATTCTCATCCCGTTTTCCATGCTGTGGGGAGATAACTCACATCAGTTAATACGTTTGTTCACGTTTGTGTGGGAAGTATTAACTTATACAAACATTCCCTAAGCATGGAAAGCTAGTTAGATCAATCTATTCTTCTCTCCTAGAAGATTATTGAGTGTGATAGACACTTGAAGAAGCTATAGAGTAAATAGCCAAAATATTGTGAGTTTAACAACTAAGTGCTAGTTCAAGTAAAAATGCAAATTAAAAATCTTTATTTCATTTTTGAAAAAATATCCTTATATTTTGTAATGTAAATTATTTTTTTATATTTTAATATGTCAAACTTGGCAGAGTTATTGATGACATTATATTGTTTTATACCTCTTTATTTATGTATTGAAGGAGAAAGAATTTTTTTACTATCATTTTTTTTAATGAAATAACCAAATCATTTTTCTTTTTCTGTAGTGGAAGTGCTGGAGTTTTTTTGTTTTTTTTTTTACAGCTTATTTTGCACACACACACACACACACACACACACACACACACACACACACACACACACACACCAATTTACTTTAGTGTCCACATTTAAGCTCAGTAGGAATTAAATTCACTATAAATTGATAACACATTTCAAGGTCAAAAAATTATCTGCACTTATCCTTTAACATATGTTATGAGTACAGATAATTTTTTACTTTCCCTTATATTTACAACATTATCTTAAAATATTTTCTTGCTGAACAATCCATTTGTTTTGCTTTTAATTTTTTTCAAATCTCATTTGTGACACTCTTAAAGCTAGTTCTGTTTCTTGTTACATTTTTATCTTGTCAAGGATTTCAAATTTTTTGTTTGTTCTCCGATCTCTGTTCAACTTTTTCAGAAATTCCTATCACTTTACAATATCTTGTTTCTCTTTTGTTAATTGTGACCCATTGTAATATTTATATGCCTGAAATTAAGAAAAAAATAGGTATAAAAAAATCATATTATATTTATTTCTAATATAGTGACTCACTCTTGACTAGCATGATAAAATCTTTAAAATACATTATTGTAAATATTTATAATAAAAACGATCAGTAAATCATGTGGTATATTCATCATATAAATATATCCTAACATTTTACCAAGGTCAGCATCAATTTTACTGTGAAAACATTGACTTAACATAATTAAATCCAGTATAATATTAGTTAACAGCTATGTTTTGTTTTTTTGAATTCTTTGTCCTAAAATACTCTCAGAAGTTATTTACATATTTATTCCCTCAGCAGATATTATTTTTTATAATTTGCAACTTCCATCAGTAATTATTTATTTTTAGTCTTCTATTCATTTGATGTTTACAGTATCTGGTTTTTACTTATTACATTATTTCCCTTGAGCTGTTTGTATGTACATGCACGCACACACACATGCCTGATCTTTGGAATTACTTAAGAGTGAGTGTATATATATATATATATATATATTATTGTACAATTGATTTTCTTTCTGTTTCTCTCTACTTTATTTTTCTTTTTCTTCTATGATTAAATTAAAAGCAGAATAATTTCAAAATAAAAAAACAAAACAAAAAAAAACAAATAGATAAAGTGGAGCTCTGCAACTGGCACACACCATCAATAAATTAATGTTCCACTTGTAACTTTTTATCCTCATACTCACAAAAAGGCTGAAAATCATAAGATTTCCAACCAATTTAATATTTAGCACCAGTTAAAAAACTGGGAAAAAAAAAACTTGTAGAGAACTTTCTATATTCCCATCTAATTTTTTATGTAATGACATTACTTGTCCTGAGCAAATTTAACCACTCATTTATTTATATCTGCTATTTACATTTACAATCTTTTGTTTTGTAGGACAAAAAAAAAATTTGCTTCTATAATTGATTGACATCAAGGATTTCTGTGATGTTCTGTCTTGTAGTCCAGGATGAGCATTACAAAAAATATCTGAAAACCTACCATATATTCAGGATTTTAAGCTTTTTCATACTTTCTCCCCAGTGAAGAGATAATGGATTTTATTAATTGAGCCTTATTTGAAATTCACTGTCATTGTATAGTCATCAATCATATTTAAATATCCAGAAAAATTTATAAAAGTTAGTTCCCACATTTCTTGGAAATCTACATATTTCTTCTACTCTGTATTTTAAACTTGAAATATGGAAATTTTAAAATCTGAACACTTTAAAATCTTTTGTGAAATCACAATCAGGAATCATCATGTCACAAATTATGAATAGATGAAATTTTTTTTATGGCTTTTCCTTCCTTTTGTTTAACATGAAGATTTGTTGCAAACATTTTGATATTCTTTTTTGCTCACATGATTCATTTCATGATAGCATCATTGCTTGTAGTGAGGTAGATTCCAATCTTGAACAGTGTTTGTCCTTCAGTTTGGTTGGAATTTATTCCCTAACATGGTCAACTGCAAAATGTGCATTTCATAAGTGATTCTCTGAAGGCATAACAAGAATCCTTAGTATTAGGAGTCTTTTTTTAAGGAGGCGATCCATATGTTAGATTTGCATCAGTCATATTTGGAAGGTGTTTCTCTATAATGCATCAGCTTATGTTGCAGTGGCCATTCTTGGAATCAAAATCTTTCAGAACACCATTCTTCAAGTAAATTCTGTGAAGAGGCATGGCAGAGATTGAACTGAGAAACTCTTTCAGATACTTGTATGAATTTTCCACAGTTAATACACTATCACAAAATTTGGAAGCAAATTCTTTTCCAGAAAATTGTTGCCACAGACAGGAACTAGTGCAAGTCACTCAAGAAAACCATGCTGATGCCACTCAGAAGGAATCTTGGTCAGTGTCATGGATGTCACAAAAGGTTTTGTTAGTAACCTCAATGATGTTGCAAACTAAATCTTCATCAATGATGAAGAGATGATATTTCTTGATTAAATTGCCAGTGCTATCCTCCTTGAAATAATGCTGGGCAGTGGAACAAAGAATTTGTCTGTTTGGTAGTGTTGCAGCAATACCAATTGTGGCAGTGGTTAAAGTACTCTTTGTTTGAAATCCATCTTGGGGTAGGATGGAGATGGTCTTTTTAGTGGTTCCAGAAGCACCTAGGCTGAATAAATAACCCTTTTCATTTATGACAGTCCATCACATTTTCATAGATGGCAAACTACTAATTTTCTCTTTTTCCATTTAGCTTGTCTTTTTCTCATTAACTCTTGTTTGCTCTAGCTGTTCTGCAAAAGCTCTATGTGGCTTTGAAAAAAGAAAGCCTTCCTTTTTACCAGCTGAAGATTGTGTTGCTGTACAAATTTCTCTGTCTCAAGTAGCATTGTATGCACTGATAGTTCTTTCTCAGTTTTTCGTGTGTAGATCTTCCACCATTAAACTGATTCCAGTAATATAATGGATTAGATGACGTTACAAAAATAATGTGAGCAAATGCCATTCACAGATCTGGCCGAAACCTGACAGCCTCTTCCATAGTTTTGTTAGTTTCAGTCCTTATCCAGGCATCCCATTATGAGCTAGGTTAGATACACCACTTCATTGTAGCTCCTCAAAACTTTGGACTTGTCTTTGTATGAAGGAGAGTATTCACAACGTTCAATCTTACTTGATGTCGTAGATCATTGTCATCAATGTTGAAACATTTTATTTTTTCTCATCATTCCAAACCTGTACCTGTAAATATCAAGATATTCAAGCCTCATTTAGTTTCATCCCCAAAAGATTTGTGAGTTTGATTTTTTTTTTGAGAAATACTAAATCTCAAAGAGAACAACCTGTTCATTTTCATGGATGTATTTACTGAATAGGGAATTCAAAGAAATGCCTGGTATTCATGACTGCAAGGTACATACCTTGTATCCATGAATTTTTCCACTTTACCCTTGCAAAATCCTTCTTTTTTTTTCTTTTGCTATTATGATTTTTACTTATTTCCCTTCATCGCATATTTGTCTGTATTTGAAGCTTGAAACAAAGTTCATGACCTCCAAATTGACATGATCTTTATATTCCAAACACACAGGAGGGTTGCATGGCACAACTTAATTTGCTGCCTTTCATCTGTGTTAGAGAACAACAATGGTAAGTCAGTATATGGAATCAGCCACATTAAGGGATGTTCTGCAAAGTCTTTTGTGAACTCCTTCTCAAACTCATCAAAGGGCAACTCTGAAATCACCACAGGATTTATAATAAAT